TTGCCTATAGCATCAAGTAGCTTTGAGCAGCTCGGTAAGCTGAATTCCTAACCACTTGCACTTGTATCGTGTAAATTGCAATTATGTTCTGTACCACTCATATTCGTGAAGATGTATCTCATACTCTTAGGTACACGGTGCTCTGCACATACTTACTATCATGTGTTCTGGGGTCCCTCTCCAGTGCGTCATGGGCCTTTGGAAAGCGGGACGCTTGTAGGTACCCTGCTACAGATCATACGCACCGCGTCAGCACCTTCTGTGTGCATATGCATGACCAAACCCGCGAACAGATATATCTGTTGAATGCCCGTGTGAGCGTGGCATAACTGGTGAGAGAGTGAACGTACCCTAAGACCCCAACTCGAACACTTTGAATAGCGCGCCGACCACGTCTACCTCCTACGACGTCGGGCATAGTAAGGTTTTCATTGCAGAGATACACGCATATACTCACCCGAGTGTCAGACTAGTCAACAGGAACAGGCACCTTAGAAGTGCGGGAAAGACGGAGCAATGCGCGGCAGAGACAGCAGAAACGGCGAAGCCCCGTCGTCAGACGTGTGCTCTAAGCTTGCCCTGTGGTTGTTCGCGGTAAATATCGTTATCGTTGTGCCATGCGCTATGCATCCAACTCGTCGAAGGAGACGGCTGCAGACTGCGCCTGTCACCACCGCTGTACGAAGAGATCAGGCAACTCGCGAGCAGGGGCAGAAAGATGTTCGGATAACGGAGAGCTAGTAACACGTGCTCGTGATCGTACTCTTGGGGTCGGAAGCGCAAAGAGACTGGCGCTCTGAGCACGTGAGATCTCGATTAAATGCGGCACATCGGGCGCATCAAAGCAGAAGTCCGTCGGCGACGCGCACTTCGCCATGGCTCGTGATTGACTACTGAAGTGGATCTCGCTACAGATTCCGTAAGTTCTGGCTGCGTTCGTTCATTCTTTCTCTTGCTGATTACAGGGTCTCCCACGGCCACTGTAGGTGTTGATGCTCCTATAGTAGTAACATCCGACGTTCACTGGCCGCGACCGCAGCCAGCGTTGGCTAAAACATACGCCATCTGTCCGTGATTGGCACACGGCCGTACAGCAGGCGCTGGGTTCTTCTATCCCTTGAGAGCGAGTGCCTTCCCGCAGCGACGTTTGCAGATATAGATCGGAAGCCAAACTGTTTCGGCGTAGCGCTAGGCAGCTACAGGATGCAGGCGACTACTCGCCGACGACGGCTATCAAGCAGGGACCGACAGCTGTTGACAGGGAGCACGGTGGTGGTGGAAGAGTCCACAAAGGTCAGGTTTCGTCTGAGAGGACCCTTCCACAGTCAACACGTCCCCTGTACCGATACCATGGTACGTTGATACCCCGACGACATGCTGGATGTGCCGGCGAGGCACCGACAAGGATCATACTGAAATCAACCTGCAAATCATTCCGAATGGCTGTGGCAGAGCACCGGTTTTTTCCTACGGCGAAGACCGCTCATATGACAACGACGGGTACCGAAGCCTCCCCATGGCAGGCCAGCCAAGCGCTACTACGTTGTCAACCGAGGTCCAGTTGAGGCACCCGTGATTGCTATTTTCTTAGGTATATAGCTGTGTTATCAGCGAAGATGTCGATCCTAGTCTCAACGCAACATCCTCCGCCTTCCGTCAGGCGTGGCTCGTCATGGCTCTTCCGATGGCAACAGCAGACCTCATCGGCACGCTCCTGGAGACCATGTGCTACGGCGAGTGGCTCTGGCTCAATCGCTCCACCAGAGACAAGCTCATTGTGCGCCTCAGGGATGTACTTTGTCCTCTTTCTCAAGCTTCTCCGCGTGCTCTACGTGAGACATGGGGCAGGGAGGCCGACGTTGCTTTTCCTCGCCGTTGCTCTGGTGATCTTTACTCTGATCACCACAGTACGTATAGCGCTCTCTGCGACCATGGCAATGAACGTGCTCTGATGACGCAAGTAGCATCTAACATTACAGGTCAATCGCATACTTCACGCATTCACTGATCACTTGGATGTGGCGAACGCACCAGGAACATACTATCGCACGCTTAACGGGTGGTACAGTGCTGTCAAGGCCTCCATCTATACGGTACTAACCCTTGTTTGCGATGCTCTCATGGTACGTCTAAATGCGAAAGCAGGTGTCTTCGACTCAGCATCAATACCACATCAGATATACCGGGTTTTCGTGGTTCATGACCGCAAGTGGCTGGCAATAGCTGTCCCTTCCGTGCTCTTTCTGACCAATATATGTGAGTTCTCCTGCACAGAGAAAGGCGTTTGCGATTAATACCTCAATAGCACTGGGTGTATGGTACATATGGTGTGTTTCGCGGCCTCCAAAGGCTGAGGACATGCAAATCGGCTCCTATTATGCTGTCACTATATTACTCAATCTCCTGTGTACAGGTAAGGAACCCGGATACAGGTGTGATCACGGATACTTACGGAAATCCCTGTCAGTCATGATATCATGGAAGATTTGGGGCATCCACAGAAAGCTTCCGGGGCCCACTGTCGCAGGGATCCGCATCATGGGAGTCACTGCCGTGATCATCGAGTCAGGTGAGTCTCCCTTACGTGCCATGTCGACAGAACTGAATCTCACATGGCTTGGGCACCGTATATCAGCGGTAATTTACTCTTGCGTTCACATTCCACTCATTGTAATGAGATTCATGCATACGACTGGACTGCCGATAGTATTGGATCCTGTATGTATAAGGCCCACTCTGCGTCGCCTTTGCTTCTGACCCTGAGCTCTTATAATCTAGATGTACCCCATCATCGTGAGTGTAATGTTGCGATAGCCCTTTGCATATATTCATCCCGTGCAGGGAATGATCTTCTCGACTGTGATGATTCGCGCGTCGAGAGAACACCGCGACACCTCCAAGGATGGGGAGCCTCCTCGCGTTACGCATTCCGAGACAGAGCAATAAAATCGATGTTACCAATAAACTACGTCCGAATCGGGGACGCAGACAAGAGCCCACCCAGATCTATCAAAATGTAGCTGAAAGAATACGAGTCCATCAAGCGTGTATTTGATGTCAACGGGTAACTTTGAGCAGCTTTGTGAGTTGAATTCTCAGCCGCCTGCACTTGAAACGCGTGACATTTTATCATATTCTGTACCACTCGTATCTATGCAAATGTATGCCGTCTCCTTCAGGTCCACTATACACTACGCACACTATTTATCCTGTCTTCTGGAGCCCCTCTCCGACCTGCCGCGAGCCAGCACTCAAAAGTGGGATGTCCGCAATTGCCTGCTGCCCGTCACACGCGCGGTGCTAGCACCTTCTGTGTGCACATGTAACCAAACCCGTGAGCGAAAAGATCTGTTGAGCTGGCCCTCGTGAGTGTGGTGCAGCTAGCGAGAGAGTAGACATACCTTAAGAGCTCAGGCCCGTACACTCGGCATAGCGCGCCGACCACCACCGCGGCGTCGGGTATGGAATAGTGTCGTGGGCATGTGCCAATGTCAGTGAGGCTTCGAAGCCGAGAATACGCGCATATACTCACCTGAGGGTCAGACCAGGCGAAAGGGCGAGCACCTTGGGAGTGCGGGAAAGACAGGGCAAAGCGCGGCGGAGATGGCGGGAAGAAGACGGCGAGGCCCTGTCGCTAGACGTGTGCTCTAAGTTTGACCTGCGGATGTTCGCGGTAAATATCTCCATCATTGCGCCATGCGCCGTGCGTCCATCTCGTCGAAGGAGAGAGCTACAGACTATACATGTCGCCACCGTTGTATGAAGAAACCAGGCAACTCTCGAGCGGAGGCAGAAAGGTGTTCACGAGCTTCAGATGGCGGAAAGCCATTACTGCGTTCCCGCAAAAGTGATGCGTCCGAACAGAAGTCACAGCTCCGGGAGTTGAACGTTGAACGTTGAAGGAGGGACGTGTGAAGAGACTGGCGCTCCTAACCCCGTGAGATCTGTAGGGGTCCCCCTTTGGCGCCTTGGGACGGCTTGAGAGACCTTGAAAGGCGCCTGGGGAATGTCCGACATTAAGGAGAAACTGTACATGTCCGTCGGCGATGCGCATTTCGCCACATTCATATTTGGCTACCGAAGTCGACTCCACTATGGATTTTGTAAGGGCAGGTCGCACTCACTGTCTTGTCTTGCTGACAATAAGGCCTCTCATGGTCGCTGTAAATATTTAGTAACAGTTGACGTTCATTCGCCGAGTTCAACGTCACGAACATCAGCCTATGATCGGGATGGTGTGCAGCAGACAAATTCGACCGACATCGGAGTCTTCTGGATCTTGGGAGCTTCTCATATGGCGAAGATCGCTCATACGGCTACAACGCCAAGCCCCGCTAGTATCTCTACAATATCACCCTTGATCACTTGAGATACCCACGATTGTCGTTCGCTAAGGTATATAGAGTCCAGACTCAATATCTTACGCCGCCAGGAGCTGAGCTTATTGTTCTCTTCAAGGTTCATTATGGCTCTGCCACTGGCAAAGGCAGACCTCATAGGCACATTGCTGGAGACTATATGCTACGGTGAGCGGTTCATGCCTAGCAGCATCATTGGAGACGAGCTCATTTCGTGCCGTAGGAATGTATTCCGTGCTCTTTCTCAAGCTTCTCCGCGTGCTGTACGTCAGACGTCTGGAGGGCAGGCCCACAATCCTCCTCCTCTCCGTCGCGCTTATGATGCTTTCTCTAGTTACCACGGTACGTACCGTCGTCTCTGCGGCCATGGCAGTATGATTAGGCATGCTCTGATGGGCAGGTAGCACCTTGCACTGCAGATCAATCATACATTTCAGGCACTGACGGATCATATGGACCTGGTGAACGCCCCATCAACATACTCTCGCACAGTCAGCAAGCGGTACAGTGCTGCCAAGGCCTCCATCTACACGATGCTGACCCTTATTTGCGATGCTCTAATGGTACGTTCGAATTTGGGGGCGAGTGTCTTCGACTCAGTGTTATATTAGGTATATCGGGTGTTTGTGATTCATGAACACAATTGGTTGGCGATAGCCATCCCTTCTGTGCTCCTTCTGGCTAACACATGTGAGCCTTCCTATGCAAACAGTGATGTCTGCGATTAATATGGCAATAGCAATGGCCGTGTGGTACATATGGAGTGTGTCTCAAGCTGTGGCCCCAATTGTACAGATCAGCTCCTTTTATGCCATCACTTTAACACTCAATCTCCTGTGTACGGGTGAGAAGGTCGAGTACAAATGTGATCACGGATGCTTGTTGACATCTCCTGCAGCTATGATATCATGCAAGATTTGGGCTACTCATAGAGAGCTACCAGGGCCCGCCGTTTCTGGGATTCGCATCATGGGAGTCATCGTTGTTATTGTCGAGTCAGGTAAGTCTTCTCGCGCCACATTGACGTATATCGAACCTCATATAGCTTGTACAACGTATACAGCGGCAATCTACTCTTGTGTTCACATTGCGCTCATTGTAACGAATACCATGCCTACAAACGGACTGTGGATAGTCTTAGACCCCGTACGTCTAATGCCCGCTCCGCACCCTGTTTGCTTCCAGTTCTAAGCTCTTATGATCCAGATGTGCCCTATCATCGTGAGTGCAGCTCTGCGGCAGCTCTTTGCGTAGACTCACCCAGAGCAGGGAATAATATTCTCGACCATGATGATTCGCGCGTCAAGGGAATATCACAGAGACACCCTCATGAACAGGGACTTGTGTTCTGTGACATATGCTGAGGCAGAACAATAAAACCGATATCATCAACAGAATATCACGTCCGAAACAGAGGTGCGGATATGGGTGCCGCAGTGCTGTCATCGCCTCTGGCTGTATGGCTTTGACTTGCGCTCTCAGTTCTCAAAAAGGTTGTCGTCAGCGCATTATGGGCTGATCGCCTATTATCATTAACGTTGCAGTGTGTCATTAATGGAAGCGTGTGTACTTGTTAATTGCTACCACCGAGACAGGCAGAGACAAGTGCCCATAAATTTCAGGTAAAGCGTGAGCAATGATACTATATATGCGTCTGTGGTGGTCCACAGCTCAATATCAATGATGCACGTCCACCTGCAGCTCTCGGATATGGACCCGAGGTGCCGGGAGATATTGGCGCTCTGTCGGTAAGCGCGTTCGATCGGATGCGGCAGGCCTCGCGTCAGAGCGGAAACCAAGGACGCACATTTCGTCGCGACCCGCATGGATGACTGACCGCTGAAGTGGATTCTGCTGTGGATCTCGTAAGATCAGAATTATATTCGCGCACTATTTCTCTCCCACTGACATTGAGACATCCCCTTCATAGTCGCTGTGACGACTGCTCCTATTTTGGTATATAGTAACATCCGACATTCAGCAGCGGCAGCGGTCTTAATAACCCATGTCGGCCAAATTGTGCGCCATCTAACTATGATACTCACACTGCATACCATGCAATTCTGCTGACATAGGACGCTCTCGTCTTCCGAGGCCTCTCACTTGGCAAAGGCCGTCCATATGGCGACGACGGATGTCAACACTTCTGGCTGACGAAGCGCTGCTAGCACCCATAAGGTGCCAACCGAGTCGGCGTTCAGCTAAGACGCTCACGGTCGTCGCTCGCTGAGGTATATAGCTGTTCTGCGGTTAATATGTTTCTCCTAGCCTCAGACCCAACATCTCCCGCCTCTAGAAGCTGAGCCATCCTTCCCTTCCGTCGTGCCTAGTTCAAGCATGGCCCTTCCGATGGCAACAACAGATCTCATAGGCACACTAGCAGAAATAATGTGCTATGGTGAGTGGCTCATGTCAACGGCTACCGTCGGAAACGAACTTATCGCGCCCACAGGGATGTACTTTGTACTTTTTCTTCAGCTTCTCCGCGTGCTCTATGCGAGACATCAGGCACGCAGGCCGATAGTGAACCTCCTTGCCATCGCGCTGTTGATATTTTCTCTAATCACTGCGGTGCGCGCCATGCTCTACGCGACCGCAGTGTCAGATGCACACTGAATATCTCCAGCACCTATCGCTGCAGATTCATCGCATACTTCAGGCATTTACGGATCACATGGATGTGGCGAACGCCCCGACAACATATTATGACACGCTTAGCGCGCGAGCGAGTGCCACGAAGGCTTCCATCTATACGACGCTGACCATTGTCTGTGATGCTATCATGGTACGTTTAAATGTGAGGGCGAGCGTCTTCCACTCACGTACGGCGCTAGGTTTATCGGGTGTTTGTTGTTTATGAACGCAGATGGTCCGTGACAGTCATTCCTTTTGTGCTGTTGCTGGCCAACATTGGTGCGTTCTCCCTCGCAAAGAGATATTTTCGCAATTGACACGGCAATAGCAGTGGCCGCATGGTACACGTGGAGTGTCTCACAGGTCAATTCATTACAACCCATGAAGCGTGCAGTTATACGAATCAACTGCTTCTTCAGCGCTGTGACTCTAATATTGAATCTCATGTGTACAGGTGAGGACACCATGTACAAGAGTGCAATCGTGGATGCTCAGGGATATCCTCGCCAGTCATGATATCATGGAAGATTTGGACCATTCATAGGGAACTGCCAGGACCCGCTGTGGCAGGAATCCGCGTCATGGGAGTTGCTACTGTAATCATTGAGTCAGGTGAGTCTCCCTTGCGTGTAATTCCATCGGCAGCTGAATCTTTCGTGGTTTGGGCAACGTATATAGCGGCAATCTACTCTTGCGTTCTCGTCGCACTCATCGTGACGAGCACTCTGCGAACGACCGGACTGTGGACAGTCCTAGACCCAGTACGTTCAAGACTCACTGTGCGCCCTCTCTCCTCCCGATTCTGAGCTTTCATGGTTCAGATATGCCCCGTAATCGTAAGTGTAATCCTGTCGCCATACTCCACATAGACTTACCTTGGGCAGGGGATGATCTTCTCTGCTTTGATGGTTCGCGCGTCAAGGGAATACCGCAATGACACCCTCATGAGCGAGGATATATCTCTTCCGACGTAATTTAAGTCATAATGATCAAACCGACAGTGCCACCAGCAGGCCATCGCGTCCGAAATGAGGGCGCGGATCTGAATACTGCCACGCTATTACCCGTGGTTTGCTACCATTTGATTATTTGACTTTGTTCCGGCACGCACCACTACCGTAGGGGGTCGATTAGGGGCTCTCGAAAGCAGAGGGATGTCTGCAGGTTTTAGGTGGAGCTGGCCAGTAATATTGCGTGCCCATAGTCATCGGAGGCACGCGGAGATAATGCGTGCGAACAAAAAGTTAGAGTTACGGCTTCTGATGGGAGGAGGTGGCACATCAGGCGCATCAAAAACCTTCTGTCAGTGGCTGTCGGCGATATGCATCGCGTCATGACTCATGAATACATAATTTACTACCGAGGCGAATTCTACTCAAGATCTCGCATGAGCAGGCTGTATCGCACGTTACTTTCTCTGTCGACAACGAGTGCTCCCATAGTAGCTGCAAGTGCTTCTATGGTAGTAACGCCCATCGTCCACCGTCCGATAATCTCACCGATTTTGCCTTTGGGACTTCTCGCATGGCAAAGATCATCCGTATAGCGACGACGGATGCCGACGCTTCTGGCCGACCAAGCGCCATTGTCCCTCTATGGTGTCCACTCCGATCACTGGAAATACCCGCGATTGTCGCTCGCTGGGGTGCATAACTCGTTGCCAGTCAGGCTGTCGACCTTGGCTCTACCCAACATCTCCCGCCGTCGAAGACTCGCCATTCTCTTCTGTCAGGCCTGGTTCGTGATGGCACTAACGATGGCAAAAGCGGATTTCATAGGCACGCTACTGGAGACGCTGTGCTACGGTGAGTAGCTAGATCTTGTCCGACACACTCCGGGGGCAAGCTCACCACGCACCACAGGGATATACTTCATGCTCTTTGCCGGATTTCTTCGTGTACTCTACGCAAAACACCAAGCAGGCAGGTTGATATGGCGCCTCCTTCTCATTGCACTAATCATATTCTTTCTGATCACCGCAGTACGTGCAGTTCTGTACATGAACATGACACTGACCATGTACTGACGACTTTAGTAGCACCTAGCACTGCAAATCAATCGCATGCTCGAGGCATTCGCGGATCATAGGGATGTGCCGAACGCCCCATTAATGTATTTTCGCACGCTAAGCAGACGGGAAAGCGGAACGAAGGCTTCCATCTATACAACACTGACCCTTATATGCGATGCTCTCATAGTATGTTCGATCGCGAGAGAGGGTGCCTTCAGCTGACATTGCTCTAGGTATATCGAGTGTTCGTGGTGTACGAACGCAAGTGGTTCGCAACGGTCATACCTTCTATGCTCTTTCTCGCCGATATGGGTGAGTTGTCCTATGCGAAGAGTGGAATCTGGGACTCATACAGCTTTAGCATTGGCCGCGTGGTACATATGGGGCGTTTCGCGAATTGACGGAGTGTGGATTTGGATGCCCCCAATTCTACCAATCAGCTTCTTCTATGCAGTTACGCTGGCACTGAATCTACTGTGTACAGGTGAGAGCGTCGGGTGCGAGCGTGATAGCGGATATTTACGGATACCATCGGCGCTAGTCATGATATCATGGAAGATCTCTTTCATCCATCGAAAGCTCCTAGGGTCTGCTGTGGCAGGAATCCGCATCGAGAGTGTGATTGTTATTATCATCGAGTCAGGTGAGCTCTCACCGCGTGACTGCTTCAATGAGAATTGAGCCTCACTTGACTTGTGCGACGCATATAGCGGCTATTTACTCCTGTATTCTCATTGCACTCATTGTGACAAGTGTTACGAATACGATTGGGCTGTGGATAGCCTTAAACCCTGTACGTTCAAGGCCTACTCTGCGCTCTCATTCTAATTCTGAGCTCTCATGATCCAGATATGCCCCATCATCGTGAGTGTAGCTCCGCGACAACTATGCGTAGACTTACCCAGAGCAGGGGATGATCCGCGTAACGTACCGACCAAGGGCTGAGCGCTGATCCCCAAGCTGACCCCTCACGCTTGTGGCGTCGGAGTACTAGGGCCCGGCGAGATCTGTTCAGATCCGGAGGTGAATTCCATTAATTTGAAATCTCTTCCTCATGCTGTGACGACTGGGCAGGCTCTAGAATAGTTCTCTGAATGTATATACTGCCTAACTCCCCGCGTACGCCTTTTCTTCTTCGCTTTCGCGATACCCTTGATTCGATAATCTCCTTGACAGCTGACCTCAACTTGTGAACGACAGGACTCCGGGACCATTAGCAGGTGCAGGGTACAAGGCGCCCCGAGAGGCAATTAATTAGTGCCATGGTGATGGTGACCAGTCCCCTCGACGAAACATTGAGGATTGATGCGCTGCGGGTTGCTTAGCGCGCGGCACAACGATGACGACATTTCCCGCGAGAGCGCTCAAATTTCAGCAAGTCCGTAGCACATGGCAGTTATTAGATCTACACCCTCAGTGCAGATGTGATAATCAGCTGGTGACCTAAGCTTTACTGTTCTGTCTCTAAGTACATCGGAAGAGACAAGTGCGTGCTTATAAAAGTTTCGCTGTGGTATTCCTTCGACGCGCGAACCATCACAGATGTGAAAAATTTTGTTATCGGTTACCCCTTGCGTAACGACCTAGTCACTCATCTCATAGTGGCAGACAGCGACTCCCTTCGGCAGGAGAGGCACCGTCTAACACGTCCTAGAAGGTGTTATACTAGCCGAATAGCATCGCTGTCTCCCCCTCACAGCGTCCTCCCTTCAAAGTCATGAATAGGCCTTCTTATCCGTCTTTTAGGTGGATTTGTCTGTAACCGCGCTGCTCAGAGGCACTCTTACGCCCACTGGACGCAAATGCAGGCCAGGAATAATGCTCGAGAACCTACCAGGCACGCTAGATGTAAGTTGCACGGAGCTCTAACTTTAGCATCGGCCAGCAATCTCTCCGCTCCGACGGTACTGGAAACTGTCAAGTACGAGGCTTACGGAACGGCATTTAGTCATGCACATGATTGGTCGCTGAAGTGGGCTCTGCCATAAATCTCGTAAGAGCAGATAGTATTCGCTCGCTATGGCATCTTGCTGACAACGAGGTTCTGCGTACACCCTACAACTGCTTCTGTAGTAACATCCGACGTCTACCAGTTGTAGTCCAACAGCCCAAATTGCGCGCCGCCTGTCCATTAGCACGCTGTGCAGCAGACAATCCTGCTTACGTAGAATGCCCGTGTCCCGTGGAGCTTTTCATATAGCGAAGGCTACCCATATGGCAACCGGACATTGTCACTTCTACTGTTCAAGCGCCACTAGCACCTCTGCGATGCCGATCGATTCGGCGTCCAATTGAGATGCCTACGATTGTCGCTCGTTAAGGCACGTATATAACTGAGGCAAAAATTGTCCAGTGTAATTTCCGCTGAATGCCATCTATCGTCAGGATCTGAGCTTACTGTCTTATTCTGCTGCACTCAGTTGGTTATGGCTTTTGTAGTGGCAAAATCAGACTTTGTAGGCACACTTCTGGAGACGCTGTGCTACGGTGAGTAGCTCATGCTCAACCACTTCATCGGATGCAAGCACCTCACGCACTGTAGGGATGTATTTCGTGCTATTTTCCAGATTTCTTTGCGTACTATATGCAAGACAGCAGGCAGGCAGGCGAATACGGTATCTCCTTGCAATTGCGCTCATGATATTTTCACTGATCACCGCGGTACGTACAGTGATGTGTGCAAGTACGACACTGAACATGCACTGATACCATGAGCAGCACCTGGCAATACAGGTCAATCGCATACTTCACGCGTTTACGGATCACATGGACGTAGCGAATGCCCCCGTAACGTTCTATCATGCGCTTAACAGACGCGAAAGTGCCGTAAAGACTGCCATCTATACAGCGTTAACCCTTTTATGTGATGTCCTCATGGTACGTTTAAATGCCAGAGGAGTACTAGTCATCTTGGGCTCACATGTTACTCTAGGTATATAGAGTATTCGTGGTATACGAGCGCAAGCGTTCCACAATAGTCGTCCCTTGTTTGCTCTTTCTTGCTGATACAGGTGAGTTGTACTATGCACGGAGAGGCAGAACTTAGGATTCATATCGCAATAGCACTGGCAGTGTTATACACGCGGAGCGTCTGGCGGGTGGCTAGGCCACAGCTTGGGGGATCCCCCATTATACAAACTGACCTCTTCTATGCAGTTACGCTGGCATTGAATCTGCTGTGCACGGGTAAGGGCGTCGAATACGAGCGTGATGGTTAATGCTTATGGAGTGGCTCTCCAGTCATGATATCATGGAAGATTTGGATCATTCATCGGACGCTGCCGAGGCCTACTGTGGGTGGAATCCGCATCATGGGGATTGTTGCTATCATTATCGAGTCGGGTGAGCTCTCATCAATCTCATCGCGTGGCTACATTGATAGAGGCTGGATTTCATATAGCGGCTATATATTCCTGTATCCTTATCGCACTCATTTTGACAAGTATCCTGAACACAGGGGGATTGTGGATCATCATAGACCCCGTACGTTCGAAGTTCACTCTGCGCCGTCTCTACTTCCAGTTCTGAGCTCTTATGGTCCAGATGTGTCCTGTTATCGTAAGTGTAGTCCCTCGACAGTACTTTGCAAGACTTAACTAAAGCAGGGGATAATCTTCTCGACTGTGATGGTTCGCACGTCGAGAGAATATCACAGCGACACCTTCATGAACAAGGATCTATCTCTCCCAGTGCATATCGAGATGGAGCGATGAAACACTACTTACAAGAAGACCGTTGCGTCGAACACGGAGAAGACGACTCCGCTCCCGGCAAGACCTTGGCGTCCAGAAAAAGGTAAAGCTCGCTTAGATCACGAACCACCGCCCCTCTAGACGAGGCATATGTGGCGATAATATTCTCAAGAGTCCCATTCCTGGCAGGAGAGATGGGGTGACTTGTTGCTTCCTCGTCTAGGGACTGCCTTGGTAGACTTGTCGGATCGAGGTTCTTCCGGGCCTACCATACCTTGCCGTACTAGCCATCATAATACCTGTAGCTGAACATTCAAGCAGGAAAGGGAATTGACGTATTATTAGATGTTGTATGTTTCAGCCCAGCTATCTGACTCTGGCCTGTGGTCGTGCGCAAGTAGTATCCGAATGCTGAGCGTCTGTCGTCGTGGCGCATCATTATCTAGGGCGCTTGGTCGGGGGCGGCGTGTAAGCACTCCGTCACCACCTCACATTCGCTATGCCGCCGCTGCCGGTCAACTTCGACCACACGACCAAAGCACTCATTGAATCTCTTGAGCGGAGGCAAAAGGACATCCGCGAATTCCAGATACCACGTTTGCGCGCATGCAAGGGCCCGTTGACGGTACAGCAGCAACATGCGGCGGAAATCCGGGAGGACGTTGACGTCTTTGCAAAGCAGCTCGAGGCATGTTTACCGTTGTTTAAAGCATCGCGCTACTAAAGTGTAACAATAGTCGTTGGCTGTAGCCGTAGACGACCAAAATGGAGAGCGTAGTCGGAAGGAGTTGAGGCGGGTGGTAGACGAACTCGAGGAAGCTCTGGCTAGGTGCGTCCCACGGAGGTCTACGATCACTGCCCTCCTGACGTGGCTATAGTATGAGGAAGGAGTCAAGGGCTGCTTTGCTTGCTTCAAAGCGAGCTATTGATGCTAGTGGAACCTCAAATCGTGAAGAGCTACTCCGGTCGTCCGCTGTGAAAGAGAAGCAGAACTTGAGTGAACAGGTGGCGTGAGTTGCTTTGTATGTTTCCATCTACTGTCTGCGCTGATGGCGATACCAGCGAGGATGCGCTTATGACGGCAAGCAACGATGTGACGGAAGCTCTACAGCGGACTATGGCTCTCATGCAAGGCGAGCTTGAGACGTCTGTGCTCTCTACCCAGCTGCTAGGTGTGTTTCTATCTGTTTGTCTTTATGGCCTCGCAACTGAGTTTTAACTCTCTTAGACCAGTCTACCGCCTCATTGAAATCTGCTTCAGCTACCCATGATGTCCTGGATAGTCTGCTTGTCACCTCAAAGCACCTCGTTACCGCGCTCGAGAAATCCGACTGGCTGGACCGCATGCTAATTATTGCTGCCCTGATATTCTTCATTTTGGTCGTACTCTTCATCCTAAAGCAGCGTTTGGTCGACCGCAGTATTCGACTGGTCTTCTGGTGGACACGCTTCATCCCCTCATCCTCGAGAAGCCAAGTAGCGGAAAAGATCGCGGACACCATGGAGAAGGGTTGCATAAGTGCGAGCTCGTCCGTCGCAGAAGTTGCTACAGTTGTTGCATCCACCATCACCGCGACATCGACACTACTTGCGACAGCCGTTGCCAGCACACCATCTGTGGATAATCTTGATCCGACCGGCGACCCGATGCCGCCAATGGACCCTGTTTCGACTGATGTACCAGGGAAGTCTATACTCGATGCGATACATGCCATGCCTGTGGAGGAGGCAGAAGACTTGTTCCCTTCCCCAACCGACGTCGTTGTCGAGGCTGATGTACACTCTTCTGTAGAGCACGATGAGCTGTAGCTGACACTGTTATTGTATACATACATAGTCTTACTATCCACACTTCGAGAATTGTTGTATGTGAAGCTGAAGCTAGTCAACGTTCAGAGGCAAGTATTATAACATACGCATCTTCGTATTTAGCATACACAGCAGCCGCAATCCGTCTAATTATACCAGCGCTCCCGCAGCCTCTTATTCCTCACCATCGGCTTCGTTATAAGGATCGCGAGAGCAAGGCCCGAGATAGTGAGCACGAGCTGCGCTTTGTTGAAGTTTTCGCTCAAGACATCGAACGTATTCGACGGCGTAACGCGCGTGGAGAACAGATCGAGACCGTGCGCAAAGACTAGCGACGTCGACTCGAGAAGTGCGGGCGATGTGATGATGGCGCGGACGTTCGCGACCTGGTCAATGGTCAGCGCGAGACGGGCGGTGAAAAGACTGGTAGGCTAACCTGGTAGGTATGCGATAGCACGCGTTTTGGATCGTCGGGAATGACTGGATCGTACTGGATGAGCCATTCTTCCAGCTCTTCGTTCGTCGGTTTGCGCTTCGGGCGTCTTGGGTCGAAGAAGCGCCGAGGGAACGATTGGATGATGCCATTCTCACCAGCAACTGTGTTGCTACGATGTTAGCACTGAACATCGGTTGTGCAGATCATGCACTCACCAATGAGGTCCTTCGACGTGATGCCGAACTTGGTCATAGTTGTCGCCATGGTGGATATACCGCGAGGAAAGACGTATGTTTGTTCGAGAACATGTACAGAAGTAGAGGCGTTCGAGTGCGAAGACAAGTCCGAGCTGAGAAGAATGTGTCAGCACCTGACTGGAGAAGTCGAACCAGGTACGTACCTGCTGATCTTATCATCGATACCAGTGCCTTCATAAAACTCAACAGACACCACCCGGTAACTCTTCGCCTGGTCCACGCCAAAGTCCTCGTCGTAATAATGGTACACCAGCCAGTTATCGGTAAACGCTGCTTTGACATCGCATGCACCGCTCACCGCCGGGAGAACAGAGTGGTAGATAATTGAGCCTTTGACAACATCCATGAGATAGATAGCACAGCTGGGCGTCGGTGCTTTCAAAGACGATGTGACGACTGCAACAACATTCGGATTGAGGTATTTGTACATTGTCGTGCGGTTTCCAAGCACCTTGCCCAGGGACGCAACAGGTTCGTGAGGGCGTGCAATGATGGCCTGGATGTCTTCACCCTCGGCAAGCGATGCCGTCCAGGTCGGATGTGCGATGTACTTGCCAGTGAACTCTTTCTGGAGGCCGAACCGGTGCCCAGTCAGACGTAAAGAGCCTACTTGGCCAGTACGCAGAGCAAAGTGGAGGGACGGAATAAGCTTGGCGAACGATGCTGTATTTTCTGCAGTATCAGGGTACACGTGCGCCTACCACTGGGTGTCAGTTACATAGACCTCGGGAAGTGGGTCGAGTACATACTTGCAAGAATTCGTCAAAAAGAAGGACAAACTTTGTAGCCTCATCGCGAACAAGATAGGCTTCAACTAAGGCACCAGCAATGATATCGATGCCCTGTAGAACATCACTCGAGCGCGACTTGCCCGTAGAGTCTTCGCCCGTCAGAGCGTCGATATGGAAGAGCACTGTGTCAAGAAGGCCCTGTAATCCGGTGAATGACTGGACACAATAAGGGGAAAGTGACATACGTTGTTGGCTTTCCTTTGCGTGACGATGACAACCTGAGGTGTCTCCTCATCCATAACGGTTCTAGTCGTATAAATCTTGAGCGGAAGAACGTGTCCACCGACCTCTGCTGCCCAACCAAGGCCGAAGACCCTACTCCAGAGAATCTCTCCGTTTGCAGAATCGATACCATAAACCTTGCCTCGCGCGGTTGCTGCAACCAAAATCTTCCTGAAGCCGAACGTATCCCTTGACAACGACGCAACGTCACTCGTAGTTGGCATCGCAGAGCTCGACACCGAATCGTACGACCCGGTGACGAATCGCTTTGCGAAATGCAAAGCGTAGTGTGGAAAATCGCGAGCCTCGGAAATCTGGCGCCGAACACGTCCTGTGAAGGTCTCGTGCCCTTCGCCAAGACCCGTCTCAGCGAGCTTGCGCTCAGGAAGTTCGACGAATTCCGCGACTCTGATATCTGCCAGGCCCTCTTCACGAGTCCATTGCAACTGATCTTGCTGCCATAGTTGGATCGCGCCTGTGGTAGTCGTGATGACCACGCGGGCGAGAACACGGAACTCTTCAAGGTTGACCGCGTCGATCGCTACCTGCAGAACTATGAGCACATGGTTCAGAAAAGTAAGAGAATGGATTCACGTTTCCAATGATACCGTGTACTGCGGTCTCGAAGGGAAGCGTGTAGCCGGTGACCAGACCTTTGCCTTCCGCCAAGTGGGGCGCTAGAATATGAGCAGAAGCTTTCTACACATCCGATCAGACCTCATCGATACTGTTGCTAACACAACACATACTTTATAGTAGCGAGACCAGAATACCCGACCGATATATGGATGTCCAGCCTTATCAAGACCGCCCGTATACATCGAAGCGGTGTGCTGCGTCGAATCAGCCTAGCGATGGCGAGTGTCAGTATTAGTACGCGTGAAGACAATATCCTACATACCGAGTCCGCGAACTCCCATATGATTTTCAATCCAGTGCCCTCGTCATTTAGCTTGATGACTTGTCCTGAGCCGTCGTCCTTGACGGCAACGAGTAGCCCGTGATCACCTAGACCAAGATCCACAAGCTCTCGATACGTTGCAGCCTTGATAGCGGTAGGCGTCTCGTTAAGCCCAGACATCAGTTTCACTGACCTGATCTGGTTGCTTTCGAGCCAGAGAATTCGAGCATGCTCCGATTCGCCTACGGGTTTGCTAAGAACGAATAGACTCGCCGGCCCGTGCTCAATACTGGAAGGTACATCAACGCTGCTGAGTAGTGAACCATCCACGGGAGACAGAGAGGTAATGTGGAGAGTGTATGAGGCGAACGATTTCGCAAGGCCAATGAGGTATATCGCCGACGACGTTGGAAGCACGGTGGAGTAGACGTTCAGCGACCTGTGGGGCATGTCAATATGTACCACGCGATTCATTTCTTTCGTTACGCACGTCTGGTCTGGGGCAGTCCAACCCCAGATGATCTTTCCTGTCGATACTTCAATCTTCCGCACAGTATGGCCGTTCGTCAACGCGTACACGTGCGAGCCAGAGTCGAAAGCGAGCGCAACGCCGGTGCTGTCAGGCTCGAGTAACCGTCCAGCTTCAGGCTTGTGTAGATGTCGCTCATGTAAAAGGTGTCCGGTGGAAACGTCAAGAACGCGAACAGTAGCTCCTCCAACTCCGGAGACAGCAGCAACCCCTGCATCCCAGGTGAGCTCATACGATATATGAACCACGTATGCACGCACAATTCTTGTGTTTCTTGAACGCTAACACACGGTTTCCATCCTCAAATAGATACCTCCACGCTGAACTTGTCGTTCATCATCAAATCTCGCGTGGGCATGAGAGCACACAGGGAACGCACCTATCGACCCATTCTCGGGATGCAACCCGCTCAGAACATTGCTGCTCGTCGCCGTAAGGACTAGACTCCTCGTTTTTCCGTTATCTTCGGTAATGCGATGAAATACTGGTGACAGATTCGGGTTTCCAGTAAGGGCATCGCCGATGAGTGGTTTGTACCAGTCCACGACACCAGCTTCCGAGGCGTGAATTGCGAATGCTGGCAGGATGGCGAGGCTCATAAGCCAGAGGCTTAGCAGCCGCAACATGTTGGACACGCTGAGAAAGCTGGCGTGCGCCTTCGGAATGTCCCCGACGTTCGTAGTCGTCGACTCGTCACACGAGGTCGTAGATGAGTCGGAGGATGTGCGCGTCACGGTTCACGAAGTCCAGTAAGCGCGGAGGGTTGGCACAGGAAGCGCCCAAGGCCTGTGACCCCGCCTCGCCGAGGCCCCTAAGCTTGTAAGTTCTAAGTTCTTACTTTGCCACAACAGCACTAATTTTGCAATCACACGGAATGCCCTCCGCCTCCGCACCCTCTTTATCTCCCCCCAACCTCTCAGGCTCCGAAAGCTGAGCCGGCATACACTATTAGAGTCTCTTACGGTGGAGTCTGCAGCTACACCGTTCAGGTCAAGGTTGGAGCCATGGATTTGCTGCCAAGTACGCAGGAAGAGACCCAGGCAGCACGGGACACTGACCTAACTCAGTCACATAGACTCCGTTATAGAAACGAGGAGACAGGCTGATGTTGACGCTCTCAGAAAGCGCATCTGTATCGTCGGTGCAGGCCCGACAGGGCTGGGTGCCTTGAAGGTCGTCTGTGATGCATCACAGTACAAGGAGGGCTTATGGGAAGTTGTCGCTTTCGAAGATCGCGAGGCCATTGGAGGAGTATGGTGCGTATGCTGCCAGTCATACACAAACAATATGTCTGAATGCTGCGTTGCACGCTCAAGGCTACCAGCACCTCCGGTGGACAATCCCCCGCTCACGCCGATGTATGATTCGCTAACCGCAAATATCCCGCACCCCATGATGGCCTATCCGTCTTATCCCTTCCCGCCCGGCACGTTGCTATATCCTCCTGCATCGGCAGTGTTGCAGTATCTCAACGATTATGCGACACATTTTGATCTTCGCAAGCACATTCGTGTCAAAACCACTGTGCAGAACATAGACTGGGATGCATCATTGTTCCAGTGGCGCGTGCGCACGACTCCCACTAGCTCCGCCTCGGAGGCATTTGCGAAGGAGTCGTTCTACGACCTTGTCGTTGTTGCGAACGGGCATTATAGGATCCCATTCTATCCACTGACGCCTGGGCTTAGAGCCTGGCTGGAATCTGGAAAAGCCGTGCATGCTGCATGGTATAGACACGCAGAGTACCATGGCGACACTGTTCTCGTCGTTGGCCGAGGGCCGAGTGGTGTCGATGTCGCGGACGAGATGCGTGAAGTCTGCAAGACTCTGGTTCACTCTTTTCCCGAGGCGACAAGGGAGGATCGTGAAGATGGTACTCTCAAACTTCGAGGACGCATCGCCGAGTTTCTCGACCCACACGAAGGTCGTGTGCGATTCGAAGACGGCACAGAAGAAACGGGAATTGACTACTCTATCTTGGCAACTGGCTATGAACACTCCCTGCCTTTTCTTCCTCCGCACCTCTTGGAGCTTGCCTTGCCACCACCTATCCCCCCGATACCGGAGAAATTGTACAATTCCAAGTTCCACATATTTCCTCTTGCGAAGCAGATCTTTCCTTTGGTCACGTCTTTCCCGTTATCTCGTCTCGCATTCTTGGCACTACCGTACCGCATCATCCCCTTCATCTTCGCCGAAATCCAGACCCGCGCTGCGCTTAGAGCCTTCACCGATCCAAGCTCGCTTGACCCCGCTCGCGAGGCTGTCGACATCGTCTCGCGATATGAGGAGCTCCGCGCTCAATTCGGCGATAACGAGCTGGCAATCGCCCGCGCGTGGCACAAGATGGAGGCTGAACAGTTCCCATATCTTGATACACTTCTCCAATTTGTGGCCGGCGAGCATGGAAATCCCGCTTGGAAGTTGCCCGACTGGGTGCTTGAGATTTGGCACCGCAAGGACACTCTTCGTGCCCAATGGAAGGAATTAGTCAGGATCGGCGAGGCGGAAAAGTGGGTTGAGGGCGTTGGCAAGTCCGGTGGCGAAGAGGGTATTCAAGAATGGGTCGAGATGATGAGGCGTGTCATTCGGAGGGCTGAGCACCAGAGGGTCAAAGTCTCGATAGACACAGCGAAGATAAACAGGCTCTGAAACGGCTCGAATGGATCCATAGGCTGGGGATCACTTTCCATACTCTGCCGCCGTTCACACTAGATGTGCTGCGAGGTGTTAGATGAAGCGTTGCATTGTAACAATCCCTGCAAATATTTTCATCTTTATCCATGCTTCGCGTGTAGCAAGCGTGTAGAGTGGCACGCTGTCGTTCCAATTTTCCCACGCCTGCTGCTGGCGGTGTTTCAGCTAAACGGTTACAGGCCGTCGTTCCTGCCTGCTCTCGTCTCCAACCACCGTTGGACGCGCCTGAGCGCCATGCCGACTACCTCACAACTGTTTGTGCGAAGGAGCCTATCCTTCGGGTGCAATCCATACCGCTTACCTGAGAACAGCCGAAGCTGCGGGCCCGCCAAGGTGAGAAGATTAGGCCCCGGCAACGTTATTGCGTACTCACATAGTACGCTCACAGGCGGGAGAGGCATGGGAGCTGATTCCTGTATGCGACGGCCCCCCATGGACTGAGACGACTTGAACCAAAGGGATGGAACCAAGCTGAAGTCGCCCAATCGCTCGGGCATTCTGACAAACGGAGGACAATCCACTAGTGAAATGTTCAGAGCCGTTGCACATGGACCCATGTACGCCTACGACCCGGGATTGACCCAGATTATCTCCCGCACTAACTGGATCTGCTGCGCCGCAGATAAGCCCTCTATGCGCCTCATCACAAATTGGAATCCGGATGACAACGGTGCCAAGCAATATTTTGACAGCGCGATGGGGCCATCCGTTCTGAGGGCTGCGGGCAGCTCCCATCTTTTACTACTTGGCATGCATGTTTCAACATAGGCTATCCACTGCATCCGTCTCATATCCGCTTACGCAGATGTGAGGGCCCACGCCAAGGTTATCACGTCCCGGATTGCAGGTATTTTTCTCTGTGTGCTGCGGTATGCATCCGAGTTCTCACTCTGAGCTGCTCAAGGCTATGCCCAGGTTCTCAGCGGATCAAATTCATATGCCCCGCTCCTAATCAGCAGTGGACCATAGTCACCGGCTTAAGTTATGACACGAGCCTACGCAGTACGTTGAGAGTTATTCGGTACCTTTTGATGGGCCAAGACTGATGTATTTCGTCGTAGCACTGCTCCAATTTCCATTTCTCAGAAGAGGAGTGGACAATAACGTGCTTGACGGTCCCACGGGCGAGCACAACCTAGAGATGCGTGTTGTTTTCTCTGAAACTTCCGGCGATACGCAAGATCTTGGCTTGGGAAAGCGAAGGTTAACTGCAGCTTTTCGATCCCGCCACAGGGAAAAACTCTCCTTGCACGGCTTGCTGCCTTCCAGGCGAGGGTGGTGACTACTCCCCTGGCTACTATACCAGTGTATGAGCGTCAGCGACTGCAGCATATAAAAGCGACAGGCCGATGGCCGTCAGATATTCTCCAAGTCATCGTACTTCTAACACAAGCAGTACCCCCTCCTCAGTGCAAGATGCGCTCTTTCACGCTCTACGCTTTCGTTCTTCTTTCTGTCATTTGTGCTGGGGCGACCCCCATTCCCGGGAGCGGTCAGTACCTGCCTCCCTACAGTATATACCGATGGACTCATGTTGTGCTTTTGCGTCCAAAGCTGTTACAGTCCCCCAGGCCAAAGCCGAGCCGTTCCTTCCCGATCTTGAGGGTACGTTGTTATTTACAACGATGAGACAGAGCCTGCTGACCATTGCTGATTCTTGCCAGCTCGCAGGCACGGCGGCGACGATGACGGCGATAGGGACGGCGACCGTGACAACGATGGTGACCGCCGCCGGAGCATCGCTGCCTTGACTCGTGGGTGTCTGCATCGAGGTTACCAGAGAGCCTACCTAACATCTGCTGAAGGTCGCAGGCATGGTGGGGACGACGACGGCGATCGTGACGGCGACCGTGACAATGACGGGGACCGCCGCCGTGACCTGACCCGTAAGTGCTCGCCTAAACATGGTCCAGGTGGCGTTCTGACACTGTCGCAGGCCGTAGGCACGGCGGAGATGATGATGGCGACAGGGACGGCGACCGTGATAACGACGGCGACCGCCGCCGCGACCTGACTCGTAAGTGTCTGTCGAGGTTATGAGAGTACTTCCCTAACGCCTGCCGCAGGTCGCAGGCATGGCGGAGACGACGATGGTGACAGGGACGGTGACCGTGACAATGATGGTGATCGCCGCCGCAGCGTCCTATCCCGCAAGTGTTATCCTGAGCATTACTAAGATGACCTTCTGACAATATAGCAGGCCGGAGGCACGGCGGTGATGATGACGGTGACAGGGACGGCGACCGTGACAATGATGGCGACCGCCGCCGCGACCTGACCCGTAAGTGTCTACGGCGAGATTATGCAGGTGCTTCCCTAACTCCCGCCGCAGGTCGCAGACACGGCGGAGACGACGATGGTGACCGCGACAATGATGGCGATCGCCGCCGCAGCGTCCTAGCTCGTTAGTATTCTCCTAGTCGTTATTAAGATGACCTTCTGACAACGTAATAGGTCGTAGGCACGGCGGTGATGATGACGGCGACAACGATGGGGACCGTGATAATGATGGCGATCGCCGCCGCGACCTGACTCGTAAGTGTCTGCGCCGAGGTTATGAGGGTCCCTTCCTGACGCTTGACGCAGGTCGCAGACACGGCGGAGACGACGATGGCGACCGCGACGGAGATCGTGACAATGACGGGGACCGCCGCCGTAGCATCGCTGATTTGGCTCGTAAGCACCCGCCTTGAAATCATTGAAATGCTCACTTAAGCTGTTGTAGCTCGCCGGCATGGTGGTGACGATAACGACGGAGACCGCGACGGCGATGGGGACCGCCGCCGCAGCGTCCATGGCCTGACCCGTAAGTACTCTCTCAGGCATTATTTCAGTACTTCCCTGACGCTGTCGTAGGCCGTAGGCACGGCGGAGATGATGATGGCGATAGGGACGGTGACCGTGACAACGACGGCGACCGCCGCCGCAGCGACCTGACTCGTAAGTGTTTACCTACACATCGTTAAGGCGGAGTCCTGACGCCGACGCAGGTCGCAGGCACGGTGGAGACGATGATGGCGACAGAGATGGTGACCGCGACAATGATGGTGACCGCCGCCGCAGCGTCCTAGCTCGTAAGTATTCTTCCAGAAATTATTAAGATGGCCTTCTGACAATATAGTAGGCCGTAGGCACGGCGGTGATGATGACGGCGACAGAGACGGCGATCGTGACAACGATGGGGACCGTCGTCGCAATTTTGTCGACCTAGCTCGTGAGTTTCTGCATCGAGATTACCAAAGTGCTTCTTTAACACCCGCTGTAGGTCGCAGGCACGGCGGGGACGATCGCGGCGACAGAGACAGGGAAGGCGACAACGACAGGGACCGTGATGGAGATCGCCGCCGCGGTGCGCTGGCTCGTAAGCATCTGCCTAAAGATCATTAGAATGGCTATCTTCACACTGTTGCAGGTCGTAGGCACGGCGGAGACGACGACGGCGACAAGGACGGTGACCGCGACAACGACGGCGACCGTCGCCGCAGCATCGTCGACTTGGATTAATTCCCATTATCCTTCCCTCTCTCGGACTCTCGGAAAATGTGGTTTTCTTCCTCCGTCCCGGGTGTCCTCACCGTTCCCTCGACTGTGTTCGCTCTGATGCCGCTTGAGCTGGACTTTACTGGTTCATATACTGTCATAAAACCTCAATACAGCTGAATTTATGTGCTGCGTAATTCTGCATCCGAATATTGGACATTGTAGCGTGCACTCATGCATGATATGCGGGATTTTGGTGAAGTGCGGAGGCAGAAATGGCGAAAAACTGGTGAAGAACTGTCCCTTGTGGCGCCGCTTATGTAATTTTGAAGCGCCGCGAAGACAGTGACGAATCGCGACCAGTTCTCAACGTCTCAGTGTTGCTTGGACACTGCGCGGTCTCAGTCTGAAGGCCGTTTGATGTCGTTCTTCTTTGTGTTTGCTCGATGCTGATGTGCTTCTCTTCTGCTCGGTAACAGAACCGTCTGGATCCCCAGGAACTTGAATGTCATGAAGTTGAACGGCCCAGCACCTCCTCTATTGTGACATGTGCTTCAGTCCGGCGACCCCAAATTTCCGCGCCGACTCTTCCCCTTTCTGCGCAAGTTCATGAGCTCAGTGGGTTTACTCCCAGAAGCGGTGACTTACTCGTTGAGCTCACGGCGCCGTCGCCCTCCTCAAAGTACGCCGAGCTGGGGGGTTGTAAGCCTGTTAGATGTGAGTACATCGGAAACACATACCACCGTCACGAATGCACACGCACCATTTGATGGTACAACTATTGTTAAGAGGGCGTATATGGCCAGTACTACGAGATAGCTGATAGTACGCATCCTGGAATGACCACGCAGAGACTCGGAATCAGAAAGGCCCAACACTCAAGGCAGACCAGCTTATATACGGCATTTATTTAAGTACAGGTCCGCATATTCACGTTAATGATGGACATCTTTCCGGCTCTACAGAGCATTTTCTCACGTCATAACCTCGGAGCCATTACATCCGGGCGAACAGCCAAGATGACTACCAGCGATTCTCTTACGGCCAGTAAGCTTTCATCCATATCGAGGGAAATACCTGCTTTTCGCTCACGCAGCAGCCGAAGAAGCATCTACGTAGTCGCGTTCATCGACTGGGAACTTCTTCCGGTCATGACGGCCGGGCCTACCCGGTACTTCTCAAGACACGCCTCGATGGCCGGTCAAGTCACAGATTATACACACTTTTCCCTTGAGTTTGCCGGCTATAGCGAAGCTGAACTGGCTCCGCAGACGAGGTGTATCGCATATAGCATTATGTTCCGTGAGTATTATATATCATTGCAAAACAACTGAAACGACACCGGCATGCAGCTCGGCGCAGTGTCTTTGGGTCTGTTGAGTCTCAATGAAGTTCATATCTAGTGTCTATCCTAATGCCCTTGCCTGCTGGTGGAACGCATGACCTTTCATTCTGACTTCGGGTTGCTATGAGCTCGACATGCTGATATTTATGCGGTTCAGGGAAGACGCTTCTGTTTGAATTTCACCGTCAGGTATGTTGCATAATAATTCACTCCACACAAGTTTGACAGTCCATGAAGCAATATAATCCATGCCTTAGTCAAACGTTGCGACGACCATCATGGTGACACGGCTATGTAGGTCGACAAATGTCAAATAGAGGGGTAGCGGCACTGCCTCAAGACGGACATTTCCCATTGGCACAAGGTAAGCGCAGTCAGCCTCCATCTGGTCCGATGTCCACAGCATCTCTTACACGGCCTACAGGGACCAGACTGATTTGGTTCATCGCATAGTACCGCACTATAGGGGCAACCAGTCATAATCAATAGCTCTGACGGACCGTGACCTCTGTCGAAATTTCATCGATTTTCCGTCCTTGAATTTGATCTCGCCTTCAGGATAGGTCTATTCGAAGACCGCTAACCTTCGTGCAGAGCAACCAATTTACGACATGGAAGATGGGGTCACAGTACGTCGCCGCCACTTTGCTTAGCCGTCACACTACCGGTCGCGCCAGGGAAGATGCGCGGATATTGTCAGCCTGCTCCTCATCAAGCAGCTTCTCCCGAGTCTCGCATCCAGGTGGAAATGTACAAGGAAAAGTGTTTGATGCATGGCGTTGGCGTCTCAATTCTGGCACGCTCCCTTACCCGCTTCCGCTCTCTCCCATATACCACTGATACCGTTCGTCGTTGACACACCTTCCGTGCGCGTTACCAATGCCCTTCTTTTGTGAGGTATCAGAGCTTACGTCTGCGTAAACGCTTTACGAGGCTTTGAGTAATATTCGGGACACCTTCGAACCAGTTTACTCGTAACGGCAAAAATCTAACGAGTCAAGTCAAAGCCACACGTCATATTTCGCTACATGCAAAGATCCATAAATTTATCAATGATGCGCGGATTGTCCGCGGCAAAGGGTAGCTGGTATTGAGGTTCTGTCACCCTGACGTTAGAACCAGTATCTAGGGCTCATCCTGCGACGACAATGGCTTTTCCAGCTGACTCTACCACGGCAAGCACCGCTCGCGGTCTACTAATACTCAACCGAGTTCCCTGTGACTGGATAGGACGTCAGTTGCGCTAGCAACCCGCATTACTGTCAGTAATATTGATGAGTGTACATCTCCAGGAACGGGTACCCTCTCCACAAGGGTGGACAGTGCGGGGCTTACTATAGAGAACTGCATAATGTTCATCGCGTATCGTTGAAACTGGCGGTAGCCATGCGTGGTTAAGCCGCTGCCCTCCAAACCGCTTTCAGTTGGCTGTCGGTCTGTCCAAGGGGCTGCTCCGGCGCGCTCCCTCACAGAACCTGAGCCTGATCTTTGCGGTGATGACTTCAGTGAAACAGGATGACAGATGGCAGCTACCGCCACAGGCAGCATGATCTCTCCCATGGCAAATGGTTATGCGTTTCCGAACTTCGACCGAGCGGCATTTGGTGTGGGTCACTCCTACCGTTCAGCCTAGACTAGGAGCGCGGCCCATGTGTGCACCAAGGTCATGAGGAAGACGTGCGCCCCCCTTGCATAATTCTTCACTATGAAGAATGTCCGTTCGTCGACCCAGTTGGCACTCTGTTTTCCACATTTTGCTACCTGCTCAGGCACCATCGAACCTCTAACATCCAGGGCGTCATTATTTATCTGTCAGGTGGCCCTGCTCGATAACAAGTAGGGCTATGTAGCACGGTTTGATGTGAAGCTAGAAGTCCTGATCTGCGATGCCCTGGCATAGCAGTAGCATCCGAATCGGACTCATTCCGAAGCGGACGTCGAGACCTCAGGCTTCGAGCTGAGCGTTGCCAGATCGTCCCATGCTCATTCGCTCACCACCGCTCGTTGATACTTCAACTCAAAACATGATATGATGTTTACGGCCTGCTCTAAGATTTACAGAAATTGCGGCGCTGATAGCTGCTGAAGCGCTGAAGGCTTTGTCGTATGTCATTCCCATGCTGCGGGAGCTAATATTAACGCCTCGAGCTCGAACTTTCTAGTCCTGCGTATCTTTGGCATACGGAGATTTCGATTTCTGTACTTCTTCACAGCCATTGGTAGCATCTGCCGCTACTGAAGCATATCTCGCCCCGGGGCCTCGTGGGCCGCGGTGTGTGAATTGGTGTGAACGCTCCCTGTGCAGCTCGCTCTTCCCATGGCCGGGGACGCTTCTTCCGAGGTAGCACCAGGCTTCCACCACACGTAGCGAGCTCAGAGCGGTCGAGTCCGCACAGGGTATACTAATGTACAATGTTGTTGGGCTCGACGTCCTCAGTGGCTAAAATATGTCGCCGCAGATTGTGGGTCAGAAGCGGAGGAGACGCTGGGCTGCAACAGCCGGACGCGTCCGCGCCATTTAGTCCGCGCTCCCTGTGCCGAACGGGCTAGATTCGTCAACAGCTCCCGAACCAAGACAACACTTGTAACGCGTGCCAGAGCGTGCTTCTGCTGAACTCGGGATATGCTCACACCTTGATTCCTCGAATATATGGCCATCATTCGCGGTCGCCACGCGCCCCACGCCTTGCCCCTACCTCCGTCCACATCCACGTCCACGGCTCGCTTGCGCCCATGGCGGTCAGCATCGACGTCCTGGTGCTCATAGGTTTCGCCTGCGAGTCGCTGCTGTACGGTGCGTGCATCCCGTTTCGCCGACGCCGCGCAGTCACGAGGCTGACGTACGTCTGTGGGTCTAGGCGCGTACTGCGTGCTGTTTCTCGCGTCACTCTATGTGCTGTTCTATGTCTGGGGATCGCGGGGCACAGACAGGACGGTCGTGGTACTGCATCTATGCTTGTTCGTCGCGTGCACGCTGCATTACGCGCTCGAGTTCAATCATTTCTACACATACTTGGTGAGCAAGGTCGTTCGCCCACAAGCTGGCCGCACACTCACTTCGCACTTCGCTCGCCAATAGGGCACATCCGGAGTGGTGGGCTTTGCGAATGAAGACCTTCATCAGTTTATTGCCGACTGTGTCGTCTCCGTGGCCGACTTTCTCGGGGACCTCATTCTCATCTATCGCTGCTGGATCATTTGGAGCTGTCAATACTACATCATAGTCCTCCCGCTCTTAACCTCAGCTGGCGGCCTCAGTAGGTTCATCTACACGATCCCGATACGGAAACCCTCTGATCCCTGGACATTGTCTCAGTTTGCGCATCCGTAGTAGGAAAGCTCGTCTGGGGAACAACCGGCGCCAACGTCTCCCCGTCCATCGTCCCGCTCGGCCTGGCAAGCTTCGTCCTCCCCCTTTGCACTAATGTTATAGTGACTTCGCTGATGGTCGGCCGAATATGGTACATGTCCCGTGGTACAGCAGAGCTTTACAAAGTTGCCGGCAGCTCCGCGACCCGGAAAGCCATCCATGTCATGGTGGAGAGTGGTATGCTGTACTTTGCTGTACAGCTTGTGTTCGTGGTGGTCTATGGCCTGAACCTCCCTTCGGACGTCATCATGATTGCAATCGCTGTGCAGACTTATGTGAGTTTCTGCTCGTCGCGCGTGAGACGGACTACGGCTCACCTCGTTGATAGGGCATCGCGTCCACCCTCATCATCATCCACGTCGGCCTCGGCTTCTCTTCGGAGCAAACAACGAATCAAGCAGCTCTCTCCGACATGGCCTGGGTACCGCCCTCGCAGGTGACAGCGACGCAAAAGCCGACTTTGAGCACCGCTCTGACCGATGACGACAATGCCATTGACGTCGTTGTCGCTCAGTACGACGGGAAGGGCGACACGAGCACGAGCGGAAGCACAGGCAGCATCGTCAAGTATGCTTGATGTGTGCCTGGAAAATACATGTCTTGCGCTTGATGCTGTGGGACGAATAGCTGTAGCATATACCATATTGTATGTAGTGCGCGACTGTCGTGGTAGGCACATGTACTGACTCAGAATATATACCCGTGATTATGGAAACTACTAAGGGATTGGGCGTACCAGACGATCTGCTCAGCCGTGCAGTCGCGCTTTGTATATTCTAGAGGGGCGTTTGCCGTGACGCGATTGATGCGCCCGCGTCGCTTTCCAGATGCGGCTCGGCTCGGCCGCCTACTCTCCCTCGCTGTCAAAAGTGACAACTGCTGCGCTGTAATGGATGTCACCCCCTAATCGCCTACGCATATATTCGGACTGTCCCTCCCTCGTCCCCGATCAACCTGCTTTCACTCTCACCTCGTTATGCCCCGCCTCTGCTGGATTTCGACCTTTCCGTTTGGACTTCGCACGGCGGAGAAGGCTGCCATGCGCTGCGGCCCTGTATCCCGGAGCTGTAAGGCCTAGAGTGCAAAGATGGACAGTTTGCAGAGCCTAGAGCACAAGGATGGCCGGACGTATCGCACAGACCCGCCGGATGCGCAGTCGACCGGTCGGTTGCAAAAGGATGCGGTCGGGCCAGAGCAGGGAATCCGACCGCAAGGTTCGACGTATGGACCGCTGGTGAAATACCAACCAACATCTGACTGAATGGCGAAATAATGAGGTGAACTGCGCCCGTGCTGGCATGCAATGGCAAAAGAGTTGACCACCTTCCAGACCACTCTGCTCGCTTTGTGGAAGCACTAGTCTGCACACTAGCCTCGTCGTTCTGTTCCCTTCACGCCTTCTGCCAGCTCAGGACTACAGCGATGCTCGCCGCAGGCCAGATGATGAATCACTGCGCGCGGAGCGCCGTGCGTGCAGACCAGACGTTGATGCACGCCACTAATCGGCACTCCGAACGGCCTGCTGGCTGACACGTTCCGAGGGAGAACAGTGGTGTCCTTCGTCTGGTGGGTGCTCTGTCCCCAGATGCTTTGTTGTCGTTGGGTACAGCGACAAATATTCACTAGTGACGGCGGTCGCTGACGTCATTGCAGATCGTGTTGGGGCCTTTCCAAAGGTAGAAGGTCACTTGTCATAACGAGTAGGTAGCTCCAAGGTACTCGGCAAGGTCCGATCACGCTCCAAGCGCCCGGGTGGCTGGAGGTGGCTTTGTCTCAAATTAACATCTTATCCTCACCGGTAGAAAAGCTCTTCCTTACCCTCCTCCACTTCCCACCTTCACGGTCTTTTCTCCTTGCTACGATGTAAGTGGCCGCCTGTTTGCCCCTACTTGCCTCGCTGAATACACACTCTACAGGTCGAATAGCAGCAGTCCCAGTATCAGTAATGCCGCCAGCGCGTCCACGAGCACTTTCACCACTGCCCTCGTGTTCAATGCCGCCGTGTTCGGTGCTGAGCTCGCGGTCTTCACGCTTGTGCGACCGTATTTTCCTGCCATCTACCAACCGCGAACGTATGTTCCGCCAGAAGAGTAAGCGTTGTGCATGCTCTGTCACGTCCAGGTCAACTGATATAGTCAACAGAAAACGTTCACCCCCCCTCACACAGCACCTTCTTTGGCCATTAGCTGTCTTCCGTGCAGACTACACCAGAATCAAGGATGTCAACGGTCTCGACGCCTACTTCTTCGTCCGCTTCCTGCGCATGGTCTGTCGGATACTCTTCCCGGTATGGGTCGTTACATGGATCATTCTACTTCCTATCGACGCCATCGACACGGACGTCCCCGGGAGACACGGGTTGGATAAACTCAGCTTTGGGAATGTCGCGCCGAATAGGCAAGACCGGTACGCCGCGCATCTCATTGTGGCTTATCTCGTGACCTTCTGGGTGTGTTGGAACGTCAAGCACGAGATGGCCAACTTCATCAATACAAGGCAGCGGTGGCTCATTTCCCCGGGATATTCATACTCTGCACGAGCTAGCACCGTCCTCATCCGCGGCGTACCCCAACGATACCTCACCGAACGGGCGTTGAAGGAGCTCTACGACTGCCTCCCCGGTGGCGTCGCCAAAGTCTGGCTGAATCGCGACTTGAAGGACATGCCGGACCTATACAAGCGCCAACTAAAGGCATGCAACAAGCTCGAAAGCGCGGAGACATCGCTCTTGCATACCGCCACGAAGCGCCGGAGCAAGAAGCTCAAGGCGGAGGCAAAGGCTGCAAAGAAGGGCAAGCAGAGCTTGAGCACGGATGACAGGCCCCTCACAGATCCTTCGATCGCCGACACAGAACGTAATGTTCCCCTTGCCGAGCAGCTTGTTCCCAAGGCGAAGCGTCCTACGCACCGGTTACCACTCAGCTTTCTACCGTTTTCGCTGCCTCTCATTGGCAAAGAGGTCGACTCGATCGAATGGGCGCGTGCCGAGATTGTAGAGACGTCTGCTGCGCTCCGAGAGCGTCGTATCGTGCTGGCTAAGGACGTCGCGATGTCTTCCGCTGACAGCGAGCACCCCGGGCTTCCACCACCGGAGACGAACCATCCCGACGCTTTGAAGCCGATCTCTGCGGCCCACGACCAGACCTACCCTCCGCTCAACTCTGCCTTCATTCTCTTCAATCGCCAGATCGCGGCGCATCTCGCAGCGCAGGCGTTGACACACCACTCTCCGTATCGCATCGCTGATCGGCAGTTCGGTGTCGCCCCCGAGGACGTCATCTGGGCGAACCTGAATCTGAACCCGTACGAGGCTCGCATCCGCATTGCTGTCTCGTGGGGAATCACTCTGGGCCTGATCATCCTCTGGGCGTTCCCTGTCGCGTTTGTCGGTGCGGTCTCTAACATTCATGCGCTGTGCATGACGTACAAGTGGCTAGCATGGATCTGTACTCTCCCCAGTATCATTGTCGGTATCATCTCGGGTATCTTGCCTCCAGTCCTGCTGGCAGTGTTGATGATGATGCTGCCCATCGTCCTGAGGCTGCTCAGCCGTCTGGAAGGCACGCCAACAAGGACCGGTATCGAACTGAGTCTGATGACGAGATACTTTCTGTTCGAGGTGTTGGTAAGTTGGTTTTGCTCCCTATCGCACTTCGAGCAACGTCTGACAAGTGTCTGTAGCACTCTTTCCTTATCGTCACTCTTTCGTCTGGTATCATCGCAGCACTCCCGGACCTCGTGAACGATCCATCCTCCGTCCCTTCTCTGCTCGCGCAGAACCTGCCCAAGGCATCCAACTTCTTCCTGTCATATATTATTCTGCAGGGCCTCTCCGGATCCGCCTCCGGTTTGTTGCAAGTTGTGTCGCTCGTACTGTACTACTTCAAGCTCTACGTCCTAGGCTCGACGCCGCGCTCGATCTACAAGATTAAGTACACGTTGCGCAACGTCTCGTGGGGTACTCTCTGGCCTAGCACGACCTTGCTCGTTGTTATTACGCTCGCATACTCGGTCATTTCGCCCATTATCAATGGCCTTGCGTGGTTAACTTTCTTCCTTTTCTATCAACTCTGGAAATACCAGTTCCTCTACCAGCTTGAACAACCCGAGAGCAGCGAGACCGGTGGACTGTTCTTTCCGAAGGCAATTCAGCACGTCTTCGTGGGGATGTATATCATGCAGATCTGCCTTGCTGCGCTCTTCTTCCTCGCTCAAAATACGCAGAAGCATCCGAGTGCGATCCCAGAGGGCGCGCTGATGGTCGTGCTTATTGCTTTCACGGTACGCTGTCTTAGTTCTGTTCCACATGGAGGTTGTGCTAACGACCCACTTTCGTAGGCGTTCTTCAATATCATCATCAACAACTCGTATAGTCCCCTCGTCCACGCCCTGCCGCTCAGCCTTGCAGACAAGACTGGAGGTTACGATCTCAACCGAGAAGCCGCGGAACAGGATCTGCACGACAATGCTTCAACTGCAGACGGTCACAGCATCGTCGGCGACGACGATGTCAAGAAGGAGAGAGCCCCGCATGCCCCTATCGACGCCGTCGAATCCGCGCCGCTAGGCGAGAGCAAAGCCTCCGCGTCGTCCTCGCCAAATCCTGCTGACGATCCTGAGTCGAACCCGGAAACGGCCAACCCGCCGGAGGTCAAGCCTGTCGACGAGGACGCGGGCCCGAAGGAATTCTACCACCCCGCAAGCGTTGAACCGCAGCGGATCGTATGGATCCCGGAGGATCAGCTCGGCCTCGCAGCGGAGGAGGAGCGCGAGATTCGCGACGTGGGCATTCGCGTCAGCACTGAGGGCGCTATCATGAACGAGAAGGGGCATGTCGATATTGACAGCCCGCCGCCTGGTGGGGATGTGAGGGCATTGTAAGATATCTCGAGGACTTACGTCGGAGGACGGTGCGATTCTTACGATACCCCGCTGTTGTTTGACCAACACTTAGGACCCCGCAATATGCGGCAATTCCCGCAATTCTCTGATATCCATGTTGCTGTTCTAATAATGTAGAAGTTTCTGTACTAGTTGGTGTACGCGTATGTACATTACTGGCGACTTTAAAAAAGCCCGTTAACAATTACATGTCCGTCGTGTGTTCTTATGGTCCATACAAACATACATATCATGCGTGAACTGTGGTCTGTAGCACCGCAGGTTCATGATCGTTCGTAGCGTAACGATTCGTCCATGACACCCCCTCGCGGTCTTTGTGCGCGGTATCCCACACGTCCGCCGTCCGTCCCCCGCTCCCACCCACAACCAGCTCCTCGTTCTCGAGCGTCGCATCTATGAACGAAGCCAAGTACACAAGGTACTGCGAGCATTCTTCGACATGCTCCGAGCGGTCCCCGACGTGCGTCACATATCCAGCATGGATGAAATCGAAGCAATGCGATCGGTGTGTCATGGCAACGGGATGTGTGCTGGGCGCTTTCCACTCAGTCTCGTTGTGGATGCTGTCGGTGAGTCGGATGTCTCCGAAGGTGGGTTCGTCAAGTTCGTAAACGTGGACGTTCATCAGCCTGTCTTCGTCTAGCCAGGCTTCATACGCAAAATGAAAGTCAGCATTAATGAATTTCGGGAACGGACAGGTGGGCCTACCATGCGATGTAGACACCGGGCCCCGCAGGAGCCCCGGCAGCTGCGCAAAGTTCTTCAACGTCGCCAGGACGTGGCCGACAGTGATGAGCACTGCCAGCACTGTGCCGACAAAGGCAGCTGCCCAGAGGGTGTACGGCCTGTTGACGGGCCTGTTGTGCCTCGCCCGTATCATTGTTGGAGTGGCCGCGGAGTGTATCTCGCATCCGTCCCCATATACCAGCCCCTACTTATTGTCTTCTCAACTCGTCCGTAGAAGGGCAGTGCCGGCATGGCCCCTCGGGCCCACGCCGAAGTATGCTATGGAAGGTGCTGTGTGCATGTTGCCACAGCGACGGCGGGAATGCTGGGCCCTGCGAATGGATTGGCAGAGAGGTCGGCAGTGCCTTCGGTGGGCAAGCAAAGAATGAAGATTAATGAAAAACATTAAAGGTCTAGATCGGCCGGAGATAGGCGTAAGAGTGAGCACTTACGCGTACAAGGGAGGATGCGATGCGTCCAGGGCCGCTAAGGCGACCTGTAAGGAAGCCGGGCAAGGCACCGTTTACTCGCAGTCCTTTTGTACCCTTCAGATCTCGTGCTTGAGCTGTCGACCGGGTAGAATGACTGGTCCTGCGGGGTGTCATTGCATTCTACGAGTGTGCGAGCCCGCTATTGTCTAGACTCGATGAGTAAACTCATCGAGCCTTAACGGGAAACACGCACATCGCTAGGGCCGCCGAGCGCTGAGAAGCCCGAATGCGCGTGCTTGCGCATGGTGCGCATGGACGGCGTACGTACCTGCCGCGGCGGCGGAAGCGCGGGTTGTGAGGAGAGCTCGAGCCGACGGTTGTGAGGACCTCGAAACTTAGGCCAGGACAAGCAAAGCACAAATGGATGCTAGGATCCAGCAGTAAGATACCCGGAGATAAATGCATTCTTCATCTCTGCCATATCGTCGTTCTGTTTCCACTCTTCTGATATCTACGCCTGTTAAGAAGGCCAGTGAGTGCACGCCCGGTCTCCGCATGAGACCACAACTGACCCTGGCCAGTAACGGTAGAAGCAGATGTTCTCCCCGAGTTAGAGCACACGGCAATAACGAAAGTGATAGGAAGTCTCGTTGTATCCCTCACCACATGCGCTGGTGGGAAATGTGGCAGCTCGGGGCTCTTCAGTCCTCCAATCACCCAGCATCACCCCGACATGCCCAGTGCTTGGGGGAATTCATGCTTCTAGCCCTCGCGCGGTTATAGAGAAGCAGCGAACCACTACCAGAGCATCCAGTGGCTCGAAGAGCTCTATTACATACCCTATGTACTGTAATGACCAAATAAACTCTCGGGATGTTCGACTGACTGCTTCGGACTTCGGTTCACTTAATTTTGAAGTGCGTACCACGAAATTTCACCGCAGGGCTATGCAGTTTATCCCAGATTTCATCTAGCAAAGATTTCGTCGGATAGACTGTCCGGCAAACAAGCAGAATAGAGGTTGAGCAAAGACAGACGGCTGCTAATTAGAACGCTAAAGTTGAACTTGGCATCTCAGGCGTCAGGGGCAAGCGGGAAGGGGCGGGAATTGATCGGAGACCACGCGTACTCACGTGATATAGACACCCGAAGGCCGTGCGCGCAGGGTCTTTCGCCGTAATGCATGCAGTCGTAGACGAGTGAATTACTCAGATGACTTACTAGCCGCGCATCATCTGTCAGAGCATCTGTTTCGTATTTGCGGTCTAGACAGTACACGGTCCACTCTTAATCGCTAGCCAGGGGGTCTTGGCAGGTACTCATCATGGCTATCGGCCTCGCTGAGCTAGCGTTAGCAGGTTTCTTCGCCTATCTTTTCTACACAGAAACCTGGGGCAAAAAGACTGCGCTTTCGAATGTCGCTGGGCCTCCGAGGGAATCCTGGTTGAAAGGTGGAGCCCTCTCGACTCTTTGAAGGAATTGCGCTCATGAGAGCTCCAGGTAACACGCAGCGCCTCTTTCGCGATGCATTCGAGTATAATCGTTGGCTCTCGTGGACATACGGCACCGCTGTGAAGATGCACACGCTTTTTGGGGTCAGTCATTCTCGCTTTTACCTTGCTGGGATTCCCTGACGCCTTCAGCTAGCAAGAAGCATTATATCTATCAGACCCTCTTGCGCTGCAGCATATATTTGTCAAGAATCAGCAAGCTTTCGACGTAAACAACGCGTTCATACAGTATGGCCTCGAATATGTATCTTCATGCGCAGATGCTTATGCTCTCTTAGAAGCAATCTTCTGATGTTCGGAGAGGGACTGACTGCAACGCTGGGTGGGTCTCGAACGCCTCTTTGGATTCACAAGAGCTCATTCACAGACAGACAAACAGCATAAGAAGCAGCGCAAGATGCTAAATCCAGTTTTTGCCGTATCAAATCTACGGGAGCTACTTCCCATTATTCAGCCGATTGCAAATGAAATGGCATCAGTGTTCACAAAACATGTACCTGCGGATGGTAGTCAGTGCTCTTTCCCTCCACAGCAATGCAGACATACCGACAAGAGATGTGATCACAGCTACAACCGAATTAGACGTGATGCCTTGGCTCTCTCGAGGTGCACAAGAGTATATCTCCCAAGCATGCTTCGGGTGGACGTTCAACGCCTTGGACCTCGACAAGCGCAATACCTATTCCGAAGCAGCGAGAAGATACACGCAAGTATTTCTTCGGTCTGCTCGAACGGCGAGCTGACGCGTACTCCAGGCCGGCTGCATTGCGAGTGTCCTGGCTCCGCCCATATCTGCCCTTTATTGTGAAAATCTTTCCCCTATCGTGGCGAACTAAGATGCTCGAGTGGTATCCTGGCGAAGATATGAAAAACTTCGTATACATCTTGGATGTCATGTACAAAACTAGCAAGCGCATCTTCGGGGAGAAAAAGAAAGCTCTCGAAGGCGGGCTTGAGGGCAAAGCTAATGTTATTACCTCTGGAAAGTCTGAAGGAGACATGGGTCCAGTCATGCAAGGGAAGGATATCATGAGCATTTTACGTGAGTACATGATGCAAGTCGCCCCTCTATGACGCGCTTTTCAAACGTGATTTTTGATGTAGTGAATGCAAATGCATCCTCGAATCAAGCCGACCGTCTGACGGACTCGGAGCTCATGGGACAAATGAGGTAAGTAGCCCCGTTCACAAGCGACGTCTGTTCTCATTATGTAAAAGCACTCTCCTCTTTGCCGGGTTTGAGACGACTACGTACGCTATATCGCGGATACTCTGGGTGCTAGCTAGCCATCCGGAAGCGCAGGCTCGCATCCGGAGTGAGGTCAAGGTTGCCAAAGAGAGGTATTTATCGCAGGGCTTCTCTACTGTCGCTGCGTGGCATGACGCCTCCCTTTCGTATGACGACCTGACGGCGCTTCCGTATCTCGACGCGGTAATCCGAGAGACCCTTCGAGTATACCCTCCGAGCAGCGTCCACTTCCGGATGTGCGTTCATTTCTTCCCTATTGTTCTACAGCTGAGGCAAGCGTTGCCACATGCTCAGGGCTTCGCAAGACACAACGCTTCCGCTGCAGTACCCTGTGAACTCCGTGGATGGCAAGCCCGTTGACGCCATTCCTATCAAGAAGGGTACACAGATCCTGGTCTCGATTATCGCCTCAAACCACAGCAAGGAAGTATGGGGAGAAGACGCTTCCGAATGGAAGCCTGAGCGTTGGTTAAACTTGGCTGATAACGAGATGCCTAAAGGGATCACCGACTCCGTCAAGTACCCGGGTGTGTACTGTGGGATGTACGTTCCGCTCCGTACGCTAGTATCATCTCTGAGCTGACGGCCGAGCCTGCTCAGGATGACATTTCTAGGGGGTCCAAGAGGCTGCATGTGAGTCGCCTGCGGAAGCTTGCTCTCAAAGATCCGTTGCTAATCGGGGATCTATACAGAGGCTTCAAGTTCTCAGAGATGGAAGCGAGTAAGTCGTACGGCGCTGAACTCTCCGCACCTTCCTAATAAATGCACGTGTCTACAGAGCAAGTTCTCGCCACCTTACTCCCCCGCCTCCACTTCGCCCTGCCTTCGGCAGTCGACGAAAACGGGAACAGAAAGGAGGTCTACTGGAAGATGAGCGGACCGCAGATACCCGTTATACGTCCGCCGTTCGGCGACGGCACAACCGCGCAAGTACCTCTGGATGTCCGACTCGTCAAGGAAGAAGATTTCGCTATTGAACCTGACGACGAGGACCTGATTGCGCTGTGAAAGATAGGGGATACGGCGGACCAGCAACAGTTTGGACGTGTGCGCCTATCTGTCGATGTCTGAGTGCTGTAATGCAGCTCATGATCAGGCCCGTGTACCCTTGAATTATCGAACTGGAATACACAAACAAAGCGTCTCCGCAGAACAACTTCCCTGACAAAAGGAAAGAATATGTGGTCGAAGGAGGTACAGTACATGTACAATTGTTTCGGCATGTGGTGTTCCACATCCGGTCACGAAAGAGAGCATCTCTGCCGGAAACGGTGTGAGGGCGGTGTTCCGAATGAGGTGTTATGACTGCCGCTGCGCATCTATCATGTCAATCATACCAGGCGTAATTTCACCGTGGATGGCCGTCTGAAGCTCCGTTGGTCCCGTGTGAACTATCTCCGCAGTACCTCTCCCAACTAGTTTCCACCCTTGACCTGTCCATACGCTCAGATAGCACACGTCACAGCCGTCGCCCGTCTCCTGCGGCAAGAAGCATGAGCAAGCCATATGTACGCTCGTCTCTAGTTCCAAACCTACGGGATCCAATAGTCGCTGTCAAGTATTCTCCCACAGACAGCTCGATCGCAAACGAATACGCGCCGCTTAGCCAGGAAGAGGGCACCGACCTTAAAGAGCTAGTCCGGGAGGTACCAGCCCCGACACCTCCCTTTTGGGCATCTCCGACAGCCACTGTCCTCCTTCTCGTCACGCTGCTGCTCGTGAACGTAACATGTCTGGTGTTCACGACACATCAAGTGAACGTCGTCTACGAGATACTGAAGAGTCGGCTGGAGTTTGTGGCGAATCATGATTTGCCGACGAAAGTCAGGGTGCGCGGTAGATCTTCTTGTCCGCTCCCAGCTGCTAACAATGCAGTCAGCCTCTGTGAGTGATGGCACAATCGTCAGTCACCAGAGCGCGACATGAGTGGCCGGATGTCCAAATTCACTACAAATCATGGCTTCCGCCTCTTGCAATAACCGGTACTCAAATGAGAACGAGCGTGTTATTTATACGTGTGTAACACAACTAAGGAATGGAATAACTTGGCATGCTTGTAAGACTACTGGCTGATATCTGATGCTTGACCTTGCCATCGTCTCGCATATCGAGCAATTCTACGATGCCACCAGAACCAAAGGACCCTTCAATCCCACCGACATCCGTTGGCGTTCTGAGCGAACTTGAAGAAGCTGCCCCCTGGCCCATTGAGGGAGGGGCCCATGACAGGCTGGATCTCTGCGCGCGCCGAGTCTGTTCCCACGATAGCCCGAGTCCGACATTGATAAGGATCAGCGTCGACGTGATGCCCTGTCGGAGCATCCCAAATAAGCACTCTCAATTTTGAAGGGATGCGCAACTCACGTAAGTCTGAGTTGCCACAAGAATCATGATGAATTCCGCAGGATGACCTATCCCGAAAATAACTACGAAGATGAACTGCACCACGAAGTAGAGAATGCCGCTCTCGATGACGATGCCCATTGCCGCGCGCGTTGTCGACCTTGTTGGCAGTCCGTAGAGCACCGTGTCCTTCGACATGTACCATATCCGGAAAATGATGAGCGATGTCACAATGACATTCGTGCAAAGGGGTAAGGTGAAGCTTGCTAAGCCTAGGGGGACGATGGATGGTGAGGGTGTCGCGTCGGCAGTCCCCCAAACAAGGTGCCCTACTACCGCTGCGCATACTATGACGAAACTCTAGTAAGGATAAGGTCACATACAGAGGAAGCGCGTGAAAGTGCTTACTGAGGCCTGACGAGGCTGTGAGCAGAGGAAGGACAGCGACGTAGTAGTTGCAACTCCAGAGTACATAGCACCTGTAAATCAGGATGAGGTCTCCCAGGAAGTCGGCCACTGAAGTAGTGCAGTCTGCGATGAATGTATGGTAGGTCTCATTGGCAAATCCTGCAACGACTCCGCCGTTCTATAGGGATATCCACTTCTCGTGAGTTTAAAGACATTATCATATGGCCAGGATATCTACGCACCAGGTAACTGACGAAGTGACTGAAGTACAGTGCGTAGTGCAGTGTACATGCCACAAAAAGCAGACAGTGAAGGACGAAGATGATGTTCAAGTTGTTAGTTCTACGGGTCTTTCTCATCCAGAGGAGTACCCATAAGGACGCCGCAAACAACACGGCGTACGCGCCTATTCGAGGTAGTTAAGGCCCAGTTTCCGTGTCCGGTTGTGTAGTGAGGACACACCGTAGAATAGCGACTCGCAAACGAACCCGACGAGTGCTAGGACATCGACACTCGCGGGCATGTCGATGAGGGCGGAAAGCAAGGAGCGTGAGTGTGGATAAAGACGACAGCTTCCATAGGGTGCTGATATCATGCAAACCTAGTGGGCCGTCGTACCCTGGCGCCGTCAGCCAAAATGAGGAATGATGTACTTGGGAACTACCATAGTCGGGGCATACAAATGAACCTGTAAGGCACGTCCCAGGGTCATTTCATTTCCAAGAGCATATTTGGCTTCCCCTATGCCACATCGAAGACTGTCAACAGTACACCTAGGTCGAGAAGGGCGTTAAAGGAGCTAGTCCACATGCAAGCACGACGAATTCTTTGGTGGCAGGGATAAACGGACTCACTGGGGGAACCAAGAGATATCGACGGCGTTCAAAGTCGTGCTACTGAACCCTTGTCGCGAGCATTTACGACGGCAGACATGAACCATGCGAATGGTTGCCCTGCGCCATAAAAATACCACCGCCACAGGACCGCTATTCTCACGATTATATCGTGGCAACGGCTTCTAGTCCACAACCATGAAAATGATGCCTGCGGCGTTCATGAACAGCCTGAAGGATCTGACAGCATCGACGTCGGGTCTCCTAAATATCTTAATCATAAGCGCTTGCTAGTTTGGTGACGGATAGAAGGATCGCCATAGTGGTATGAACTGAACGCCAGCCAGCTGACAGATTCCGCCTGAGATAATGCATCGATGCTAGGCAAGAATATTCCGCAGCTGAACTCGAGGCTATCATGAATTTCAAAAACCAAGAAGGTCATCCTTCCATCTCGTCATTTTCTGACCTACCGCTTCTGAGTGACTAGAAGAGCGAGCATCATTGACACAGCAAGTTGTATCCAGGTAGCAAGCGAAGAAGATGTCATGAGAGGCATTGACAGATCGTACAAATGGTGCAGACGGCATCTCGGCACAAATATGCCGACAGTTTGGATGAACACTGGACATCTGGTAAGTCGTTCGTCTTCAAACAGAAGGGCCACCCAAGGACGGAATACATACCTGACGCGTTCACATAGCTGCGTTAGGGGTAGGTGTGGTGAGCTCTGAGTCTTTTTGAGACTCTAGCTCGATATCGTTCGGGTTTGCCTTCGACGTAAGATGCGTAGGATAGAAATTACTTAGTAGTAGTCGTCCCCAAGTGTTGGCAGGCGGTGCGTTGTCGACTGCATTCGTAAGATATTCGGAAGTAAGGCCCAGTCCCGCTTGTATAACGATGAGGAAAGATGCGATGCCCTGGCGCATATTGAGAAGCTGATCTCGTCAATAGGTGAGAATGGTAAACGTACATAGACCTGGACAGCCATTGGAATAATGACTTGTTCGCCATCGTTGTTCATACCGTAGAGTGTGAGGAAGACGAGCTGGACAAGGAAGTACAACATTCCGCTCTCGAGCATGATGGCCATGACTCTCCGTGTACCAGTCAGCTTATAGGCCCGCATACCCCGTGACATGTACCAGATACGGCCGACGATCAGAAGAGTCACCATAACATTTGTGCAGAAGGGCAGACTGAAGCTGGCAAGACCCAACGGCACGATCGAGGGCGACGGGGTAGCGTTGTGGGTGCCGTTAACCAGATGTCCAACCTCTGCCGCGCAGACTACGATGCACGTTATAATTAGCGTTGCAGCGGAGATATACGTTGGAATCCACTCACTTAGTCCGGCAATCGAGGTTAGCAGTGGCAAGATTGTGACGAGGTAGTTGCCACCCCAGATTAACCACAAACGATAGATCAGAATCAGATCTCCAAAGAAATCGGTGATCGAGATGAAGAGGTCGGCAACGAAATACACGTTCGTTTCGTTGGCAAATCCGTCTACACCGGTCGTTCTCTAGAGTGGTCACATTTTGTTCAGACATTTCATCGTCAGCGGAGCATGTGAGTACGCACCAAAGTGGTGTGGAAGTGGCTGAACTCGAGAGCAAAGTGCACAACACAGCTCAAGAAGAGCATTATGCTCAAAGCCAAGATAACCTGGTTCGATCCATGCCGACGGAATCGCGGAAGCAGCACGTTCAAGGCGAGGCCAAACACGACCAAGTTGATGCCTACAAAGTGTGAGCATGCGCAACTTCGAGTTCAGGACGAAAGCATACCGAAGAGGACCGCCTCGCAAGCGAAGCCCAGAAGAGCACCTATGTCAACAAACTGAGCCATAGAGACTGGGCAATGCAAACGCGCGACGACAGAGTCGAGAGGTCAAGGACCCGGCAGGCTGGCAAATGGCGACTGCGAGGGTTGCACGTTGCCTTGACCTGACTTTTAAGCAGGTCAGGGAGCGTGTGAGCGTCGAACGCGAGAGTTCTTCAGGCACGAGCTGCGACCTTGGTTTTTCGATTGACAACCATGGGCGACGATCAGGTCCTGGCCAGATTTGTACAAAAGCTCCTGGCATTTCAATGCCGGTGGTCACAGACGTGCCTCGTGGCCGACGAGTATATGATAATTGCCGCCAGTGACCGCCCGTGGGGAGATACCGTGTGCTCATTCTTACTTCTCACATCAGTCATTTGCACGGCGCGGGCGCCAGATACTGGGTGCATGCCGGCGGACTTTAAGGGCAAAGGCAAGCGGTCAACAGAACTATGTATGCTTGGAAGTAGAGGTCATTAAAGAGCTCAGACGGTCGCGATAAATCTACTCACTCTGACTAGTTCGACCATCACACAGGATAAAGCAGCTAACCTATCAGTAGCTGCGGTTTGGCACTCCACAGGAATCTGGTGGAAAAGTCTTGCTCTACAGGGTTGCTGCCGTTGCGCGTTTTCTACCATCGGGGTGGATGTCAGTCGGCATGTGGTTCGCGCTGCCTCAGGGGCCGCAACACGACAGATCGTTGCGTGTGGAGACTACACTCATACTGCTCTGTTAACTAGAGAAGTTCATAGGATTAATAGCGATGCATACCTTGCTAAAAATACCCCCTCTACCACACGTCTATACCAACAGATTCTACGACATACTCTTTCCTAAGAAACTCGAAGCAAAGTCGTGGGTGACCGACAAACCTAGTCCCGCTGCCAATCTTGGGACAAACTAGGACTGGACGTGGCGCTGTGACCGAGCTCGTACTAAGAAGTGCAGCAGGCGGATAGCCTACTGTAGAAGGAGAATCCAAGCGTGACTCGTAAGTTGACTGCTATCACGTTGAATTCAAAATTCACTGACGTGACATCAAATCGTCGCTGTGCATAACTGAGTGGGTGAATGAATGAACCTTCTAGCTTGTCGTACTGGAGTATTTAGCACGTTCATAGTGTGTTCAATTAGCGGCTGTATAGCACTTGCACGCGTTGAAGGCCGTCTAGAAAAGCCAGGGACTTGTGCATGGCAGGAAAACTACACTCTCATGGTCCCATCTACTTAGTAGAAGTCGCACAGCAACGAGGGCAATGGCAGCAACGTCGTAGGGCTGTGACACCGCGCTGGATGGTCAAATTCAAGAGGTGTGAAAAATCAACGGAAAATATTTTCAGCGGACCAGGAAGTTATATATGGTTATGATACCAATTGCGTCGCTTGATGTTACCGCTGTAGCTCGATTGGATAAAGCGTGTCCTGTTAGGCGTTGTTTCGATCCTTGCGGTGGGTTAATTTTTTGGTTATATTCTGCTAATTTTTCAGCGCCCAAGGTCTCGGGCTCTGGCACAAACCTTTCCTTTAACTTTTCGTCATTCTCGCCTCTAATTATATAGTTAGCTGTATGGAAGCCGTTCGCTGAAGCCTGAAGTGCAGTGGTGCAGCGTGTAGCGCGATGGCGGCATGGCAGTGACAAACACGCAGTCATCGCGGGAACGCCAGACCAGCGGGCCGGAATTTGTGCCGCCGGCATTGGTCATTACAGTCAAGGTGAGCTGGACCTCGCAGATATGAGTGCTGATGAGTGCTGAGTGCTGAATGCTGAGTGCTGAGTGCTGAGTGCTGAGTGCTGAGTGCTGATGAGTAGTGGGCTCTGGTGTTGTATTCTACCGATAGTGCGCCTCAATCTGCTCAAGTTGCCAACCGGCCGCGAGCTAACCCAATTCTAATCAGCTAGCCCCGCCACAAGCGCGTATCAAGCGGGGAAGTCGACTTCCCGTTCTGCGCGAGGTGGACTAATCGGGAGAGAATTCGCGATTGAGTGCCCCGGATGCTCTGTCCAGTTGACAGAAGTTACACGACGCTCGACTCCAAAGCATGGGCGAACTCGCTTCCCTTTTCCTCGACCCTTCGACCCTTCCCCTCTCCTTCCCTCTCCCCACCATCTCCTCTCAGCCTCGGAGCTGCTCTCTTCGCCTCCAGAACGGCAGATATATGGTATGTTCCACTGCTTTTGCGTGGAAAAGTGGTAGTCTACAACCGCGATGCCCAGGCTCGTCCGCGGTCAGCAAAAACCAGTCAGAATTGCCAGAATGAGTTATTTACAACGATGATAACTAGGCCGCAGGCAGGATGCCACAGTCGAACGACAACGCGAAGGCCGAACTGATTGGGACCTTTCTCGAAGTTTTCTGTTATGGTGAGCCCTTCATCTTAGGACCCCAATGCCGCCGATAAACATGACGCTAACAAGACAATCCTCTAAAACACGAACAGGTGTATACTCTATAGTGTTCTGTCAATGTCTCCAGGTTCTGCGAAACAGGTATATGGAGGGTCGACCATCCATCATTCTCATCGCCACTGCCCTCTGTATATTTATCCTGGTCACCATTGTGCGTCCGTCGGCCATTGAATTTCTACCTGCGTCACCGACCATTGTTCCTCTAGCATTGCATAATGGACTTCCTCCGTGCAATCCAGGCGTTCACTTCCCACATGGATGTACCTGACTCCGCCGTAGCTTATTACACCATCGTCCGACGTAACTTGGACCTGATAAAGAGCGGGTGCTATATTGCTGTAACCGTTGTGTCTGACGCCCTGATCGTAAGTCGCTACACTTCGAGGCTTCCCTCCGTCCTGGCGAATATTAATGCTTGTGACGCAGGGATATCGCACATTTGTCGTTTGGGGTCAGAATTATTTAGTTGCTCTCGTCCCAGTTACTCTGGTTCTTGCAGACGTTGGCAAGTATCGCGTGCCCTACGCCGAAGGCTTCTTCCCTAACATTCCCTCGCCAGCTCTCGGAGTGTATGCTGTCTGGCTCCTCTCGCAAGTTCAGCCGGGAAATAACGCACTCATGGCGGTCGTGACTGAGCGCGTTAAGTACTTCTATACCATCACCCTGATCTTGAACTTGCTATGTACACGTACGTCAGTCCTCTTGCGGATTTTGTCCGCTGGCTGAGCTCCTGCTGTTGCAGTTCTCATCTCGTACAAGATTTGGCAAGTACAAGCCGAGGTTGACCGGTATTCACCATCTGCAGTTCGTCCGCGTGGCACTCAATTAATTCTCATCGTCGTCGAGTCCGGTACGTCCCCGCTGACAACTTGGATTTTAGATGCTCATCAGGACCCCCTAACAGCGGCGATATACTCGGCGATGCTTATAGTGCTAATTACGAGCAGCTCCTTAAGCGCGGTCATGATGCTTGCAGTATTGAACGTCGTAAGTCGCACTGCCTCCAGCCGAGACCCAGCTGACATTGAGTTTATTCTCGGCAGATTGCTCCTGTCATAGTATGTTTATTTCGGTCATCCCCTGTGGTCGCTCTTCTAACACTAACCTCTCAGGGAATCGTCTTCTCGATGGTCATCATCCGCTTCTCCATTGATAGGACACGATGGGACAGCCTCAAGATCTCGACTCATCTTAACTTTGCCTCCAGCACCATCCATGACGACGACAAGAACGAGCCTGATTCTCCCGTGGACATGCCCTCTCCCATCACCCCCGCCGAGATCGGCAGCAGGGCGCTTGGTAAGGAGAAGATCACAGTCGAAAGTCACGTTCGCCCAGCAAGTCAAGTCGGCCTGGGTCTTGGGATCGAGCGGTACACTGATACCATCAGCCTACGCAGTCTCGGCAGCGTCTTCTCGCACTCAAAGACAAGTCTACCAGAGTTCTGCGTATGATCTACGTTTCGTCACGTCATTATCCCACCTCGCTCCTTTGTGCCTTGATCCTTGTCTGTTATGCGACGAGAGAAGAACATTTCACCTCCAGCCGTATATGTATTAGTTTGACGTTCCCTGTCGCTTTACGTCGCTTTCGGCGCTGTCACTCGCTTGTCGTTTCCTCATTCATCTCCATCTTGCAGCTGTCTTCTCTGTTGTCCGCCTGTTGGCTCGTGCTCGTCTGTCGTTCTCTCGGCTCCGCTTCACTATTCCATACCCGTCGCCTGCATCCTCATACCAGTCCTTCCCTTTCCATGAAACCCGAACTTGTCGCGCACATCGCATTTTGTACCAGTTGCATTACTTATTTGTATGTATTGCAATATCAAATGTTTATCGGCATCTGGACACACACAATGGTTATGAGCTTCTGGCGAGCATCAACCTGGTCTTGTGGCCCTATCTATGGCTCAAGTGCGCATTCATGCATGGTGTTCGATGCAGCAAGATCCCCAAGGAAATTATTCCAAATCTCGTATAGTTCCGGTTTATCCCCAACATATTGCATGGCAGTCCATGCACACGTAATAAGTCCAGCCTTCTAGCTTGTGTTCTTTCCGGCGTGTGCGGTCCTCATGTGGAACCGCGCCAGTTCCATCTTCCTAGAGTTATACGGCTGGTATTTGACCAAGACCTCCTTCGTGTTCGGTACGCGCGTGCACCTATCGGAGGCCTGTTTGATGTGAAAGCGCTTGCACGTCAGACTGACGAACGCGCAAACATATATACCCGTCGTCCACTAGTTTCTTGTCCCCAGACGAATTGCAGTTGCCCAGGGAGGTCCTGCAGCAGGAAATGGTTTAGGGCCGGGGTACATGCTGGTTCCCCCCCCCCCCTCTTTGCGACGACAGTACTGAAATGGGACGTACCGTCGAACGATGAGCCTATCGTTTTGAGCAATCAGTAAGCCGAAAGATGGTAGGACACGTACGGTGCTTGAAGTGTGGGCAAGGGCGGCGACAGCGTGCCAGGCCGAGGAGCCAACGGCGGCAAGAGGTGAACAACCATGGGAGAGCTCAATGCACGCAACAGATGTTGTATAAGCAGGTAGGAACCCGGAAGACTGGGCCACCAGCGGTGGATGGAAAAACACTGCGTAAGTTAAGAAGATGACGCGCGATGGTCTTCTGACACGCCGGAGCCTGTATCGTACAAGTACATATGACAAAATAGGCAAAAATCATGAAATATATTCAGTCACAGGGGATACGAACAAAAGATCCGTACGTCAGTGATGGGAGACAATGATTCAGGACTGCCTGCGCCCAGTTGTAGCCGTGCCGTGCGTCTTCACGACAGTGCTTTCGACTACCTTGGAAAACATCGCCACGAAGATGCATGACACGGCTGCACGATAGCGCCGCTTGCTTGATATCATACAGAGAAATCTTTCAGCGGCGCGATCTTGGTAACAGAGACTAGCGTAAGAGAGCATATAGTACTCCAGCATTGCGGCATCGCGGGGCTAGTTGCAAGGGCGCAGAAATGCATTGGGCTGTAATCGAATGGTCAGCAAGTGAACGAGGAAGTGAAGGAATTTTCGGCGCGTGCTAGTTTCCCTCTCCGCAGTCAACTCCATGGCGGAGCGATGCACAAGATGTACTTATCCCGAGGGACCAACGTAAAGGTCCGCGCCAGGGCGAACAGCCCTCGCGACAAGAGTGTTCGCCCGCCCCTCGGGTCACTCACCTTGAATATACAATCAAGCAAAGGAAAGGAAATCATAAAAGAACAATATGGGGTGCAGGCCGACATAACGAGCAACCAACATGGAGTATCAGGTGAGAACATGTACGGCAGCAGACATTGAATGTAACGGCTGAAATGGATTAGAAAGGAGCCGAAACGACCAGTCATACCAAATGATAGATGCAAGAGACGCGGTAACCAGCCTCAAATACGGACCATTCCTCTCCCCTACCTCCTCCTTCTTCTCAACCACAATCATCTTCACTACAACTACTTTTACTCTTCCCTCCTCGTTAACTCAGAGAACGTTGACTGCAGTATATGAGGGCCATACGCCTCCCAGGGTATGCTACCGCATCCTCTTCCCTTCACGACAGCGCTGAGATTATTAACGACATCAATAGGTCGAATAGTGTAGTAATCCTTTGCGCGTACATTTTTAACTGGTACTTGTTAACACATGTTCCTGATCGCTGGCCAGCAGGGTGTCCGCAGGACGCCACAGGCCACAATCTCTAGGCTCAGCATAGATGATTGCGGCGCTGACTTCAACATGCCGCCACCACTCGCCACCATCGTTTTAACTTATCGTGGCCTAAAGCACGTTATGATAATTCGGACTATGCTCTGGGGCTATTAATACATGTGCATCAAGATCGCGGGTTGCCCGATTCCTGGTCTTGGCCTTCTGGTCCGGGTTTTTGATTTCTGATAATGACTGGTCTTGCTTATCTCTGGCTCTGGTCTTTCTTCTCTAGTCATCTCTATTGCTTTCGGTGCCCTGGGTCTTCTCACTGGTCTCCGGTGGCTCGTCGTCCTCCGACAACAACATCTTCTTTGGCGCTGGCTCGTCCTCTAGTCTTATGGTCTTGCTAAGTCTCAGCTTCTGAGTCTTATCTTGCTATCCTGGAGTCAGGAGCTTGGTCTTGTCGAGCGGCCTCAGGCTAAACGTTGATTCCCAAATAGATCTAAACACGCGTCCCGACCGCGTTGTTGGGGCCTATTTGGCACAGCGATTAGGCGCCCAACATTTTCACCGTGTCCCCAGCATGGCGTAGTGCGTAAGCCATCGTCCGCAGGGATAATGTAATGAATCTGGGTAGAATAAACTCAGTATTGCTTTCACCTTGAAGCGCACTGCGAGAAGATCGGGAACCTAAGGCCAAACGACAGGCAGGATAAAATCGAGATTTATTGATAGTGAGATTATCTTTCGAGCGACAGAGCGCCTTGAAGAGTGTTCTGCCCAAGGAAAGATGATTAAGATGCGTTTCTAGGCTCCAGGCATCGCAGGACATTACGGGTGCGGTCGACTTCGTCATGCGGAATGCAGTCGCAGTCTCAGACTGAGACATGTTGATGGTGTCTATGCAGCTCAAGCAGCCCGGTATTCCAGCCGCACGGCCCGAGAAGAAGCGGGATTGGATGAGCTACTGAGCCTAAAATCCACCATCTATGTATTGAGATCAAAGCAGGAGCTGTCCAGGTCAGTCTGTGGGGACCGAGAGCTAGAAAAACCAAAGGACTAGGGTAGCAGCGATTAGCTTCCTTAGCCGCCAGCAGACATGTGAATGATACACGCCATGACCACCGTTGGATGGCGTTCCGAGAGAGTTAGGAGCAACTTCAGGAGAGACCGCAGCTAGGGGCAGCTGTGTACTCTGCATCATTCGAGACAAGCTTCAGCCGGTCCACTGACAAACAAAGCAGCGTGAAATCGTCCAAACAAGATTGCGCACCTGCTGCGAAGAGCTACCTGACCTCTGGGGCGCGATAATGGTAAGAGCCCCCGTGTGTAGAGGGTGACTGGCAGCAAGCAATCCCGAATTCGCTGGCTCTTTGCCGAATAATCGTTCCATCCAGAGGTGGGGTTCGCGGAAGAAGA